GCATTTTTTATGACCAGAAAAAAGGCCTGAAGCTGGAGCCTAGTGGAAAAAAAAGGGGAAGTATTGTGATGTTAGGAGAATACTAGGTTATTCAGAGAGGCAGGTAGGATCCAGATCATGCATGGCCTTGTGGGTATGATAAGGATATTACTGGATATCATTTTAATTGCAATGAAAGACATAGAGCAGCTCCAAACAAGGAATTGACACTGCAAAATTTACATTTTAAAAAGATCCTTCTCTATAAATAAATTACTAAAATTAATAAGATCAGCAACAGCAAATATATGTAGGAATAAATTTAACAAAAGTTTACAGATCTTTATGTAAGTTTGTTATAGACATTTTTAGCAGGTATAATGAAGATATACCATGCTCATAAATGGGTAGCATTGGTGTCACAAAGATGCGAATTCTCTCCAAATTATGTGATAAATTCAGTGCAATTTGGATTAAAAATCAGAAGAGGATTTTCTTTTCTTTTTTCTTTTCTTTTCTTTTCTTTTTGGAGCTTGAGAATCTGACCCTAAAATTCATGTGGAAGAACAATGAGGCAAAATAATCCAAGTCGAATTGGAATTTGCCCTACCAGATATCAACATACATAACTAATATAGTGTGATATTGGGAGAGGAATAGATAGACCAGCAGAACAGAATAGAGCCCAACATAGACTTACATGTACATAAAAAGTTGAGGCTGAACATGGTGGCTTACACCTGTAATCCCAGCACTTTGGAAGGCCAAGGTGGGAGGATCATTTGAGGCTGGGAGTTGGTGACCAGCCTGGGCAACAAAGTGAGATCCTGTCTCTACAAAAAATTTTAAAAACTAGCGGGATGTGGTGGCATGCACCTGTTGTCCCAGATACTTGGAAAGCCGAGATGGGAAGATTGCTTGAGGCCAGGAATTTGAAGCTGCAGTGAGCTATGATCGTGCCGTTGCACTCCAGCCTGGGTGAAAGAGCAAGACCCTATCTCAAAAAATAAAATAAAATAAAATAAAATAAAATAAAATAAAATAAAATAAAATAAAATAACAGTTGGTCAGGAATGGTGGCTCATGCTTGTAATCTCAGCACTTTGGGAGGTCTAGGTGGGTGGATGACTTGTGGCCAGGAGTTTGAGACTAGCCTCAACATGGGGAAACCCCAACTCTACTAAAAATACAAAAATTAGCCAGACGTGGTGGCATACGCCTGTAGTCCCAGCTACTCGGGAGGCTGAGGCAGCAGAATTACTTGAACCCGGGAGGCGGAGGTTGCAGTGAGCCGAGATCAGGCCATTGCACTCCAGCCTTGGCGAAAGAGCGAGAGTGTCTCAGGGGGAGGGAAAAAAAAAAGAAAAGTTGATATATTATAAAAGTGGCATTACAGGTCAATGAGAGAAAGGATGGACAATTTAATAACTGCTGCTAAGACAACTGGTTATTCATATAAAAAACAAGATCAATCCGGATAGTTTAAAGCCAAAACCATGAAAAGCCATACTTTAAAATATTTAGAAGAAAGTACAGCAGAACATCTTTATTATCTCAGGTTAGGGAAGGATTTCTTAAGGCATAAAAAGCACAAACCCTAAAGGAAAATATATATGGTATATGTATGTGTGTATATGTGTGTGTATCATTAGTTACATTAAACACTTCTCTACATCTGAGACATCATAAAGTAAAAAGACAAACGACAAAAACCAACAAAGTTTATTTTACCAGAAAATAGTAAACAACCAACAAAAACCCTATGAATCAATAAGAAAAAGGCAAATAATTGCACAGAAAAATGGGCAAGGATATAAAGTTGAAAATCACAGAAAAGGAAAATTGAAAGTCCAGTAAATACAAAATCCTGTTCACCTTCACTAGTGGTAAAAGAAAGGCACTCAAACAAGAATGGCAAAATTTTAAATGTACCCACATATTGGGGAGGAACTAGAGCAGCAGCCAGGGGCATATACTACTGACTGGAGTATCAATTGTTATGACATTTTGAAGAGCAGTTTATTTTTAATATCTGGTAATAATATTGAAATAAGCTACTAATTCCTAGGTATACTGCTCTAGAGAAAGTTTTGCATGTGCATGTAAGGCATAGTCATGGCATCATGGGATCTTTGGAATGAAAAACTGGAAATAAGCTGAATGGCAATTAACAGGATAATGGGTACATAAATTACAAGTATATTTGTATAATATAATTTAGCAGTGAACATGAATTAAGTGCAGCTATAGTTATTAGTGAGGATAAATCCCATAAATATACTATTGGGCCAAAAAAAGTTGCAGAAAGACTTATATCCTGAAAATAAAATTTATACATAAAGCACTAGATATTGTTGTGGATATATATATATGTAGATGTGATAAAAGTATACATATTTCTATGGGAATGATAAACATCAAATCAAGACAGTTTTACCCCAGAAGAGTGGGAAGATGAATGAGAATAGGAAGGGATACACAGGAGACTTCAATTACATGTGGAATGTTTTATATTTTTTTAAGCTAGGTGGCTGGTATATGGTTATGTTTCATTATTCACATCTTTGTTGTATATCGTAATTTTTTTGTTTTTAATTTTTTTGTTATTTGTTATATAACACAATTTTTTAAAAGATAAAAATCATTCTAGCCTAGAAACTGAAGAATGAACTACCAGGGGTTAAGAATGAAAGGAAGTATGGTAGGAGACAATTGTAGTACCCTAGGATAGTAGACTTGAATATCTACCATAGTTTCTGGCACATAGTAGCTGTTTTAATCTTAGGAGTTATTTAATTGTGATGGTTGCCATTATTACTATCATCATCATTATAAAGGTAGAAACTAAAAACATAGTGGGATAGTGGGATGGTGAGGGAAGATACACTAAATGTTGTGAGTAGCTATCTTATGCTAAGTGCTTTACCTCTTTTAGTCCTAACTGGAATCTAGTTGAGGTAGATATAAAGAAACTAAGGCTCATAGTGATAGCCAGAAGGCACAACAGCTACATACATTTCTAATGACTCATTTTCCAACGTTTTTTAAAACATGCATATACACACAGACACACCCCAAATACATATACCCCTTTCCTGACACACTTGAAAAAAATTCAAGTATCTTTTTCCTTTGTTCATAAATAACACATTCTGGGTTAAATACTAGTAATTCCGTATACTACACACTCAGTGTCTTATTACGGAATATTTTTGGATTATGTCTCTCCATTTTTCAGCTGCCCCTCCTAACAACTCTGAGGAAATCAGGGCAAATGATTATTCATGTTACACAGATGAGTAAACTAAAATACAAACAGGCTAAATCAGAAGTTCTTGGCCTGGTGTCCATGAACTTCACAAAATCCTGTTAAATAGTTCATGATTAAATGGTCATTTTTCTAGGTAGAGGGTCAGTTTTAATATATTTTCAAAGGAGTCCATGACTCCCCACAAAGGTTAAAAAAAAAAAAAAAAAACCATGGGTTAACCGATTTGGCTAACTGGGTGGAGCCCTGACCCCAAGCAATATTTCCCTTACCTCTTGCTCTGATTTCGGTTACGCACAATCTATCATACAAAAATTCAAATTAAAAATATTAGTAAATACTTTTTATTATGTTGACTGACTGCTAAGATGGACATGTTATACATTTTGAAACCACTTAGTTGGGAGGAATAGTTCTGTTTTGTTCAGCTCATGGACAGTCACTCTTAACTTTTCAGATGAACAAATCAAGAACTGTCATCTTTACCTGCACAGACTTGTTATAGAAGAAATGACTCTGATACAGAAATTATGTAATCTATCTTACAATTTGGGGTACTGTACAAAAAATTAAGCAGGAGACACAGCCTCAGCTAGTGTGGAAAACGGATCATGAGCTGAGAACGGGGTTTTCATTTCCTTGGACAAGTTCCTTTAACGTTTACCGCTCTCTTCTCTCAGCAGTAAAAGGAAGGATTGAACTAGATAGAGGGCTTGTCAGAATTCCTCCCGCTCTAACACTGACACAGTTGGATGGAATTTAAAATAAAAAACTGTGCATGAACCCTTCACACAGTCTGTTAATTTTAGCTTTATTTCACTGGCTGAGTGTCGGGGACCCACCAGACCTGCCTTTTCTGAGGGCCAGACCTGCAGTCCCCCTTTTGGGGACTAGGAGTTGGGTGTGACCTGGGAAACAAAGCTGTTGAAGGCCAAAGGGCTAGGAGCACCTGAAACACAAGGGCTCTCTGTCTCACTCTGTAGGCCAGGCTGGAATGCAGTGGTGTGATCTCCGCTCACTGTTACCTCCGCCTCCCGTGTCCCAGTTCAAGCAATTCTCCTGCCTCAGCCTCCTGAGTAGCTGGGATTACAGGCACGCGCAACCACGCCTATCTATGAGTAGCTGGGATTACAGGCACGCGCAACCACGCCTATCTATTTTTTTTTTTGGTATTTTTAGTAGACACGGGGTTTCACCATGTTGGCCAGGCTGGTCTTTAATTCCTGACCTCGTGATCCGCCCGCCTCGGCCTCCCACAGTGCTGGGATTACAGGTGTGAGCCACCGCGCCCGGCCAACACAAGGGCTCTTAATCCTTTGTTTTCTTTTTTGAGGCAGGGTCTCACTCTGGCGCCCAGGCTAGAGTGCAGTAGTGAGATCACAGCTCTCTGCAGCCATGACCTTCTGGGCCCAAGCGATCCTCCAGCCTCAGCCTCCCCAAATGCTGAGATTATAGGCATGCGCCACTACTCCCGGTCTTAATACTTTTTTCAGGAATGAAGGAAGGCGGGAACGCCCAAACGCGGTTGGCGTGAAGCAATCGCCTTAAAGCTGAGTGGAATGTGTGGTTGTTGGGGGTGGAGCCGAGAACCCGACGCGATTGGAGAGCAGGAAGCGCCCCGCTGCCCGCCTCCAACCCGAGGCCACGGCTGGGAGAGGGCCGGGAAGGAGGCGGGGCCGCCCCGGGAACCACTGGGCCTGGCGCGGCCACGTGACCGAGCTCAGGGGCGGGGAGAGGGCGCCCCGGCTCCGCCCAGCGCGCATGCTCGCGGCTCGGCGCTGAAATTCAAATTTGAACGGCTGCAGAGACCGAGTCCGACACTGGAAGCCGAGAGGAGAGGACAGCTGGTTGTGGGAGAGTTCCCCCGCCTCAAGACTCCTGGTTTTTTCCAGGAGACACACTGAGCCGAGACTCACTTTTCTCTTCCTGAATTTGAACCACCGTTTCCATCGTCTCGTAGTCCGACGTCTGGGGCGATGGATCCGTTTACCGAGGTGAGTGAGTTTGCGGGTGCAGCCAGCTATGACCCACCGCTCTAGGCCCCCACCCCCCTTCCTCTGTCAACCTCTGGGCGAACCCCTACAGGGCGGAGGGCGCGTGTGTGCGCGTGCGCAGTGTGTGCGGGCGGGGGTCGGATTGGCTGAGGATGCGGAGCAGGGGCCGCGGCTGCGGCCTGCTGTGGTTGGTGGGTTCCTCTGAGATTTTGTTGTTCCAGTCCTACAGATAAAACTCAGGGAGGAAGGCTTTGAGTCTGTCCTAAAAGGCGGTAGTGAGAGGTCTTTCAGCCCCCGTTTTTACCATGTCCCTCTGCAGTCCTGGCCCAGCAAGAGTGAGGCGCAGGCCTGCGGAACGGGTCCTGCTGGAAGCAGCTGGAATGCCCTGCAGGGCGGGGTCCGGGGCGGGTGACTCAGTGCGGCTGCCGCCGGGAAAGGCAGTGGGATGTGTAATTTGCGGAGTTCACTCAGCTCGCAGAGATGCTAATGATATGACAGCAAAACGTTAAAATAAGCAAGTGCTAGAAACCACTGCATTCGTTCATAAAAAGTCAGTAGTTCCTTGATATCCCATTGTTCAGCTAACTAGCGAAGAAGTTCATACCCGGGACTGACATTTTAATTGAAAGGAAACAGTGCAAGTGTGCCGACCTCAACTATCAGCTCACGATTTTAGAGCAAAGAAATAAACCTTTCGGTGTTTATGGGGCATGTCATTACAGTACTTATTTCTTCTTTTGTTCCTTTGAGATTGCATATGGGTTACATCGTTATTGTGTCGATTTTAGCTTTTGTGGAGACTGCGTTGTCACATTCGGGAGTGTTTTGTTGCCACTTGTCCACTCCCTTTTATTCCAGGACAGTTCCTCTTTCTTCAGGCTGTTGTGCAAGTTTTAAACTGTCGGTTTTTGAGTGTTGCAAAGTGGACCTAAAACTGTGTTTACACTGATTGAAAAACTTAAATGCTGTGAAGAGTGGTAATTCTTTCGGGGAGATGTAATTATAATTCTGTAAGTTATGTGTAAGATATTAATTACAGGTTTCAGCAATTAGAGTTTACTTATATTCAAGCATGACATAATCTATTTTTCTGTTTCAAATTCTTAATCATCTTGGGACAAATACATCAATTTTTTTCACCTTCCTTAAAGGTTCTAATAGAAAAACCGAGAGCATATTTTTGTATTAGCCTTAAAATAGGGCTGGTCATACACCAGATATCTTTCACTTACACTGAGGTCGGAAAGGGTGTATTTTATCTAAACTAGCATAGGATTCCTTAAATCATTAGCCCTATGTGTCCTCCTAAGTAACAGACAGGAACAAAGCATTTTTAAGTTGGCTGAAAATTGCACTTCATTTTACTTAAAAATGTCATTCTGAAGGTAGTACAAATCTCAATTGAAAGAAACTTTACCTGTTTAGATCATTTTAGAATGTGCTCAGAAATATGTATGGTTTATATTATGAAAAGCTAGATCACTTGCAGTTGGAAAAACAGCTTAGACGTCTTTTCCTTAATAGGTAATGAATGAACTACTTGAATTGATTCCAACCCTTGGGTGCTTAATTATAGCATTTATAACATTTGCACAGTGAAATAAGCTACTGGTACAGTTCTTTGTCTATCGACTGAAAGTTAGTATAAAATGACTTTCTCAACCAGGGTTTCCCCTCAGGAACTTAGGAAAATTGAGAGACTATGGTACACAGGAAAATTGGGAGACTATTTTCTCAGTTCTCCCAAGGATAATTCAATGCCACCCTGCAAACATAGAAAATAAGTCTATTACATTAACGCCAGGGTATTAGGGCTTGATTGTTTTGGTAACTCCAGTTGAGAAAGGTTACAATCATGGTAAACTCTCTTTTCCTCAAACAAGACTGTTTTGCATCGCCCTTCCTCCCTGCTGTTGCTGATACTGTTCTGGCACTCTTTTTTTTTTTTTTTTTTAAGACGGAGTCCCGCACTGTCGCCCAGGTGACAAAACCATAAACTCACTACTCATAACATCAAGAGTCTGAAGCTCTGCTCACAGGTGATAGTCATCCCAGTACAAGAATACTACAAAGAAACCCAGAGTAAAGTCTACCAATCCAGAACTTTCTTTATAAAAACCTTAAAAGAGAAAAAGCTATAATTAAAATACTTCACAGAAGCATATTTTATTGTAGAATTTATCTTATTTTCCAGAATTAAATGAAAGTCCCTGGGGAAGAGCTGCTAGAGCATATTGAAAATAAGAAGTTAATTTATATTGCGTCTACTCTGTTAAAGAAGGCAAGGAAATGAGTGAAATCTCCTAGAAAAATTTGTCAGAAATGACTTTGGAGTGTATGTGGCAAAAGTTGTTCAGGCACTATAAGCTTCAGTTTTCTGAGATTCATTCATGTAGGCTATCTTACTTCTTGAATATGTTATTGCAGTGTTTTTTTTTTTTTTTTTTTAATGTCTACACTGTTGGGAGAAAGGTGTGATATTTCAAGGAATATACCTTGTATTTAAAAGAGCTTTAAAATTCCTGATATACTGTAAGGAAGGGCTACTTACATTTATTGAGCTATTGAGTTTATATATTTCAGATACATTATTTCTTTTAAATTAATAACCTTTGGTGTTTATAGCTTTATTTCACAGATTATGAAACTGTTTTTGCATATCTATTAATTTTTTTTTAATCTGGAAATTTTTGAATCTAATATAAGCAATAGAACGTTCATATATGTTTGAATGACAAAATCACATTCTTTTGTTGTGATATACTGCTCATGGTAACTGAGGCTGTGCTGACTCACAAATGTTCTAACTGACCAGAATGGAATGTGGGCATGTCTATGAATGAATATAATTAGGCTAGTGTTATATCTGGGAAGTGATAGATATAGCAATTGAAAAATCACAAATTTATTAATTTAGAAAGGAATCATTATTTCTTTTTTTCTTTTTTCTTTTTTTTTTTTTTGAGACAGAGTCTTGTTCTCGCCAGGCTGGAGTGCAGTGGTGCGATCTTGGCTCAATACAACTTCCACCTCCCAGGTTCAAGTGATTCTCCTACTTCAGCCTTCCAAGTAGCTGGGACTACAGGCATGCGCCACCACACCTGGCTAATTTTTGTATTTTTAGTAGAGACGGGGTTTCACCGTGTTTGCCAAGCTGGTCTCAAATTCCTAGCCTCATGTGATCCGCCTGCCTTGGCCTCCTAAAGTGCTGGGATTACAGGCATGAGCCACTGTGCCCAGCAGAGACTTTCTTATAAAGGGTTACAATCTACAGTGTGGCCATCCTGACAGGCTGGGAAACATATTTACTAGCTTCGGGCAGAGACTGGAAACAGGCACTTCAAGAGAGGAGAAGGTGGAACAGGGATGTGTGCCTAAAGGGTTAGCCAAGTATACATATTCAACAGGTTATAGGCAGAGCTATGAGTATTTACAAAAGGGGTCCCAATGGGTGGGTACTGAGCAAACATGTGGTTACATGCATCCCATGTTCACTTTGGAATGAAGACTTAATATGTAAATACATTACAGTTGGGCCCTATATGTAAAAAGGTGAGGTGGAGACATGAAGGCATTCAAGTGAGCAGCCTCAGAACCGATTCATGGTTGGTGGTCTTCTTACTGAGAGAGAGTTATCGAAATCAATCTCTTGTCCAATTAAAGCTGTAGTTGTAGCTTGTGGAGCACGAGGGTTAGTCATTGTCTGATGGCGGATGAGCTGCAATTATTTTAATATTTATTTCTTATCTTGAGGTCAGTGCTTGTTCAGCTACTAGAGTAAAAGAAAAGCTTTGGCATTTAGAAGACAGTTTATTTTTTAAGTGTAGGGAGTTTGTGACTTAACCCTTGCCTGGCATGGCCTTAGGTCCTACTTATTTGTTTAGAGACAGAGTCTCACTCTGTTACCCAGGCTAGAGTGCGGTAGCGATCACAGCTCACCGCAACCTTGAACTCCTGGGCTCAAGTAATCCTTTTGTCTCAGCCACCCCACCCACCAGGTAGCTGGGACCATAGGTGTGCCCCACCAGGCCTGGCTAACTTTTGTATGTTTTGCAGAGACAGGGTCTTTGCTTTGTTGCCCAGGCTTGATCCTGTTTATAATTTGATATCTTATTGCTACAAAGAGCCTTCTGTCAGTCTTATGATCTCTACCTAACATTAATGCTCATCAGTTATTGTGTCTAAACAGCAAAAGGAGGAGTATAACAAGGTGCATGCAGCCTCCTGTCCCATCATGGCTGAGCACTCAGTTTTTAAGGTTTCTCTGGCGTCCCCTTCGTCAAGAGGGGGTTTGTTCAGTTGATTGAGAGGATTAGTATTTTATTTTTAGTTCTCATATTGTATCATGGGAGAAATTATCAGACATATATGGATTTGTGAAACAATATGCTTATTCTTGAATTTTTTGAAGGACTTTTATTTAGTGGGTGAAGGTCTTGTGTTTTGGAAGCCATTTGGTTCATAAATTATTTTTTCAGTGATTAGAGCATTTCAATTTAGTGTCATTTTTTTCAATGAACTTTAAATTAGAAATCATTCTTAAGAAGAGTAGAGAGTGTGCCTTTTTTCATATTTAGCTCATGTTTCTTTTACATACTCAGATTTTTAAAAAATTGTTACTCTATTTTAAGGAATTAAAAAGAGTCAAATGGAATTTAATTTTTCAGCCTGTACTAACTACTGTATCTGAGTATGCAAGGCGGTAATAATAATCTGCATACCTCCTTTAGTTGTGTGCATTTGAAAGAAAATGAATTGTTTCACAGGGTCTTGTGTTTGAGATTTACTTAAATTGACTTAAAATAGGAACATCAGTTGATTTGGAGTGGAAAGGAGTATTCATGACTTTATGCAATGGCTAAGATTTCAATTTAAAACCATTTTATTATATGTTAATATTTAATTAAATAAAACATAAGACTATTTTGTTTTTCTTTCCTCTTAGGAAGTGTTTTATGTTTTCAAAGGACTAATATGTTATTTATCTCTTGCTGCTTACCACCATCCCAGATTTTAGGGGCTATGTTAGTTTTGCTGCTGTAACAACTTATCACAAATTTAGTGGCTTAAAATAACATATTCATTATCTTACAGTTCTTTAGAGACAGGGTCTCACTCTGAAATCTGAAATGGATTTTACATTGTTAAAATCAATATGTCAGTGGGATTGTGTTTCTTCTGGAGGCTGTAGGGGAGAATCTCTTTCCTAACTTTGGGTTTCTAAAGGCCATCTGCATATCTTGGCCTGTCCCGTTCCTCCATCTTCAAAGCCACAAATCACATTACTCTGACCTCTGCTTCCATTGTCATATTTTCCCTGACTCTCATCTTCCTGCCTCTCTGTTTTCCATTGTAAGGACCTTTGTGATTATGTTGGGCCTGACCAGATAATCTAGAATTATCTCCATCTAAAGATTCTTAATCACATCAGTAAAGTCTCTTTTGCCCTGTGAGGCAACATATTCAGAGGTTTAGGGTATTAGGACAAAAAATCTTTGAGGGACCATTATTTTGCCTACCATAGTGGCTTAAAACAATACTCTATTTTCTCAGGATTCAGTGGGTCAGCAATTTGTATTGTGCTCAGCTGGGCTGTTCTTCTGCTTGTCTCTCCAGTGGTCACGCAGGAATCTTCAGTGATCTGGCAGATTATCTGGAGCTGGATGGTCTAGGATGGCCTTATTCACATGTTTGGCAGTTGATACTGACCATCAGCTGGGCCATGTGTCTCTAATAGACTTAACCTGGGCATGTTCACTTAGTGGCAGAGAGAGAGACCCCAAACTGTAAAATCTCTTGATGCCTAGAAGTCTCACAATATCACTTGTGCCATATTTTATTGGTCAAAGCAGATCACAAGGCCAGCCCAGATTCAAGGGTAAAGAAATAGATTCTGTCTTTTGATGAAAGCAGAAAGAATTTGTGGCCTTTAAAAATCTTATATAAGTAACTTTACACATTTTATTTCCCCTGTAATGTTCCTATAATAATTATGACATTGGGGTGCTCATTTAGTGAATCTTGATGTAATTGGTTAGGATTCACTTTTGAAATGTGTTTAACTGTCATCCTATGTGGCAATTGGTGATTTTAGAAGATACTGCAATTTTATGAACTTTTGATTAAACTTGCGTTTTAACACTGATATATTTATTTGTATAGAAACTGCTGGAGCGAACCCGTGCCAGGCGAGAGAATCTTCAGAGAAAAATGGCTGAGAGACCCACAGCAGCTCCAAGGTCTATGACTCATGCTAAGCGAGCCAGACAGCCACTTTCAGAAGCAAGTAACCAGCAGCCCCTCTCTGGTGGTGAAGGTAATAGACTTTGTGGGGAAAAATAACATTTGCTTTTTTTTTTTTTTCTTTTGAAGGAGACAAGCCCCAGACATTTCGTTAGCATATAGAAGAACCAAGCTCTTTGGGAGACAAATGTAACAGCCCCTGGGAGAAATAACAGCCTTCTATTCTATTTCAGAGTTATTATATTAGGCCTAGAACCCATCGGGTTGGAACAGAGTTTCTTCTAACAAATATTTCAAATTAATTGATTGAACTTTATTTTCTCCAATCTGAAGTTATCCTTAAAACATCAAGTGAAGAAAAATAAAGGAGTAGGGTAACATTTATGCTTACAGTAGTGTGTAGTTTTTTATCCCAGAGGTGGCAGAACAGCTGGCCACAGAGTGTGGATGGTGTCTCTGGTACTAGCAAGGCAATGGAAGGCACACTGCCAGTGCTTGACATTTAATGAACCTTTTTCACCCTCTATTTGCTGAACCGACTCTAAAGTGTAGGTTGTTAAATCTCCGGAAGTGGTGGAATTAAACACAAGCACACACAACACAAACACAAACACAAACTCACCTGTAGTCTTACTCTTCCCTCAATCCTAGGATTCCCAGCCAGCATCAGCCAGCCTCCTTAGTCTTTTCCTGGAGTGTGGAATAGTCTGGAGATAATAATCTTCCTTAGTACATCTGTAAAATACTGTAATACCACTGTAAAATAAAATATAGAAAAAAATTACAGAGGGAAAACCAATTTTTTTTTTTTTTTAAAGAGAAGAGTACATGGGGCTAGCTCAGTTATTTTGGAAGCTAGTCATAGAACAAAAATTAGTGTTCATACATTTATCCATTTGGAAGGGAGAGCGAAGGAAATACATTACATATTATATGGCATTCAGCCAGGAAAATAGGGGCCTGTCCCTAGTCCAGGATCTTCTGTTTTCCCTGTGAGATGGGTTTGTACTATTGAGTGCTATGTATTTGAAAACTAGTGTTTGGATGCTTAGATAGAAGTTCAAAACTACATTTTGATGTTTAGGTAGAAGTTCACATTTACTGTTTTAGATAATTGTAAACTAGAATAATTCTGTATTTCCAGATGGTATTGCATGTTAAAGCAGGAACACTTTCAAAAATTATTAGGTGTGTTCATAGTAAATAGATCCATAAATGAGTTACAAAACATTAGAAAGTTTCCAAAATAAAAAAAGGAAAAGAAAAGAAAAAAGAGCCAGGTGTGGTGGCTCACGCCTGTAATCCCAACACTTTGAGAGATTGAGGTGGGCAGAGTGCTTGAGCTCAGGAGTTGGAGACCAGCCTGGGCAACATGGCAAAACCCTGTCTACAAAAAATACAAAAATTAGCTGGGCATGGTGGCACATCTATAGTCCCAGCTACGCGGGAGGCTGAGGTGGGAGGATCACTTGAGCCCAGGAGGTCGAGGCTGCAGTGAGCTGAGATTGCACCACTTCACTCCACCCTGGGTGACAGAGTGAGGCCGTATCTCAAAAAAAGAAAAAAGAGACAAAAAAGTGGAGTAAGGAAAAAATAGATTAGAAAGTTTCATAATGTATATTTACTTAGGTTGATGTCAACAAGGGCAATCATGATTTATCCCTGATACTACTTTGGTCACTGCCAGAACATTTGGTTAGGCAATTGATGAAACTGACCTAATATGAAATGTACATTCTTTTAAAATATTAATTTTCCAGAAGATATATTGAAACTCAGTTGTAGTTAGAAATAATATGCCTTATGGTTATGATAATTTTTTTTTTTTTAAAATTTTAGGGCTTTTTCATTTATTTTGTAGGTGTTCATAGAAGCTTGAAATATGAAATGTTAAATATCCGTACTGGTGAATTTGTTTGGTATTGACCAGATAATTCAGTCACTTTTTCTGTCGCCTATCATAATCCTAAACCTCAAGCCAATTGCCCTTCTAACCATGCTTATTAGTTATTTTCCATGAAAGAAAGTTTCAAAAACAGAAAACCTGGTTTCTACACTTAGCTCAGCTGTGTGACTTTAGGTGGGTAACTGAATTTCTCTAGGCTTGATATTTCATATTTGAAGGTGAGGTGATTAGGCTGTATAATCTTTAAAATCTGTTAGAATGCTTTCTTATTCTGTGTGTATGCACTTGTTATTTACTGTTGTCTTAACACTATATAAAGTGTTACGCAATGTATTTTGAAAATGTTATTTAAATGTCTTTATTTTTATTTTTCCATAAATTATTGGGGTACAGGTGGTATTTGTTTACATGAGTAAGTTCTTTAGTGGTGATTTGTGAGATTTTGGTGCACCCATCACCTGAGCGGTATACACTGCACCATATTTGTAATCTTTTATCCCTTGCTCCCGTCCCGCTCTTACCCCCAAATCCCCACAGTCCATTGCATCCGTCTTATGCCTTTGCATCCCCATAGCTTAGCTCTAAATATCTTTTCATTAAGGTTTTTATACCGTAAATTATGTTTGCTTGAAAAGATCTTTCATATCAGATTTCTAAGTTGCTGAAAGAGAATGGGGTTTTACATATTTCTGGTTGTAACTAAAATCATTTAAAAGAATAGGGAGGGGTGATGTTTTATTAATTTGTTAAGTATCTACCCTCAAGTTTTTCATGCTGTGAGAAATTGCAAATTTTGAATGTCTTTTTTCCTCTTTTTTAATGTAGAGAAATCTTGTACGAAACCATCACCATCAAAAAAACGCTGTTCTGACAACACTGAAGTAGAAGTTTCTAACTTGGAAAATAAACAACCAGTTGAGTCATCGTCTGCAAAATCTTGTTCTCCAAGTCCTGTGTCTCCTCAGGTGCAGCCACAAGCAGCAGATACCGTCAATGATTCTGTGGCTGTCCCGGCATCACTGCTGGGCATGAGGAGAGGGCTGAACTCAAGATTGGAAGCAACTGCAGCCTCCTCAGTTAAAACACGTATGCAAAAACTTGCAGAGCAACGGCGCCGTTGGGATAATGATGATATGACAGGTATGAATTGTATAGATGGTATGGCCCCATACATCTGTTCCAATAAGATGCAGTTTGGTATGTTAAACATTTTATCAGTTAACTCATGAAAAGTAAATGCTTTTGTTTTATCTATATGTTGAGTATCCTTTGCTTGCAAATGGTTTGTCTACCAGTAGTATACGTTGGTTTTGTTTAAATTGAAGTAGATCACAATGAGGTTCTTGGACTAGTTCGTAGAAACCTGATCTTATGCATTACCTTAATATCTGCAACGAAAAATAGTTGAGAACAAACTATACGTGTCATTAGCATTGCTGACCCTCAGCTCCATGTTAAAGAAATCCTATTTCATGGATTCAATAATTAAATAAACTTGAGGGACTAAGGTATGCAATGCTGTTCGGCAGGGGAGAAATAAAATGTCAAAAAATATAAATTGAGTACCTACAAAGTATATTATTATGCACAGTGCTGGAAACGAATGAAATGACTTGATCCTTGCCTTTCATGAGCCTATCATCAGAAGGGGAACCTGAGAAGTAAAGCAACAATTATGCAACAGAGTTATTTATGCTATGATCAATTTCACTTATCGCTTGCCTTGTTACAAAAAAAAACAAAGCCTTGAGATGACTTATAAAAATATCTGTATTACAAAACAAGAAAAGTAAAGAAGTCAAGGTGAAGAGAAAATACGGGAAGGAAAAACAAAGAAGTGAAAAGTAAAGTCATTTTATTAAATGCAGACTGTAAAGTCTTCCTTTTGCTAGTGGCCCATGTGAAGACGTGAAACACTTATCAGTTACGTGACTAACAAGCTAAAAGCAGAACCATCTTTGGCACTAAGACTTGAGATTTGGCAGTAAGACCTGAGAGAACTTTCTTTCATGTGTCCTTAAATATGACTTTGTGGGAGCTAAGAAACCTATAAGGTTTCTCAAGGTAGGCAGATGTCCTGGCTCCAAGCTCAGTAGAAGCATTTCTTTTTTCTTTTCTTTTCTTTTTTTTTGAGACAGAGTCTTACTCTGTCACCCAGTCTAGAGTGCAGCAGCACAGTCTTGGCTCACTGCAACTTCCGCCTCTCAGGTTCAAGTGATTCTCGTGCCTCAGCCTCCCGAGTAGCTGGGATGACAGGTGTGGGCCACCATGCCCAGCTAATTTTTTTTGTATTTTTTAGTAGAGGTGGAGTTGCACCATGTTGGCAAAACTGGTCTCGAACTCCTGACCTCAAGTAATCGCCTGCCTTGGCCTCCGAAGTGTTAGGATTTCAGTAATGAGCCACCGCACCTGACAGTAGAAGCATTTCTAAAGTAAGCTAGCACAGTGCAGGTAGACCCCACGGTGCTTGCAGACAGCTCAGTGGCTACTGGGCCTCACCCAAGGAAGCATTCCTTAGGTGGTTCTCAGCCTGGCTGATTGTATCAGAATCACATAGACCATAGGATTAGAATTTCAGAAATGTGGTGGAACCCCAAGGTGTGCTTTTGTCTTATTTTTTTTAAAGCTCTTTAGGTAATTCTGATGCATAGCCAGAATTGAGATCAAGTGATCTGAAGAATGGGGCTGGATAGATGACAGCTATTTTAGACTGGATTAAACCAGATGGACTACATGTATTTCAGGCAGTCTTCCATACATATCAATTCTTTTCTTTTAACTGAAATTTTGATAAGAATTAGCAGAGAGTTTAAGATTATGTTTTCTGACAGTGATGATAATAATCGCAAGAGCAAACAGTATGTAAAATGCTAGGCATTGCAAATATTTTTAATTTTAATGTAAATTTTTTTATTCTAATAGCTTTTAATTCTTATAATCTTGAGATATAAACTACTTTTATCTTCATTTTATAGAAGAGGGAAACTGGGTTCATAGAGGCTAATAAACCTGTCCTGGTTAGCCAGCTCAAATTCAAATCCCAATGGTTTGACTTTAGAGCTCTTAATTCCTATGACCTGCCTGATGATTTCTTTGTTTTTGTTTTTGTTTTTGAGACAGAGTCTCACTGTGTTGCCCCTGGAGTGCAGTGGCATGATCTCGGGTCACTGCAACCTCCACCTTGCAGGTTCAAGCAATTCTCCTGCCTCAGCCTCCCAAGTGGCTGGGATTACAGGCGCACACTATCACACCCAGCTAATTTTTTTTTTTTTTTTTGAGACGGAGTCTTGCTCTGTCGCCCACGCTGGAGTGCAGTGGTGCCATCTTTCTCAGGTTCAAGCAATTCTCCTGCCTCAGCCTCCCGAGTAGCTGGGACTACAGGTGCCCACCACAATGCCTGGCTAATTTTTTTTGTATTTTTAATAGAGACGGGGTTTTACTGTGTTAGCCAGGATGGTCTCAATCTCCTGACCTCGTGATCTGCCCGCCTTGGCCTCCCAAAATGCTGGGATTACAGACGTGAGCCACCGCCCCTGGCCATTTTTGTATTTTTAGTAGAGACAGGCTTTCGCCATGTTGTCCAGGCTGGTCTTGAACTCCTGACCTCAGGTGATCCACCTGCCTCGGCCTCCCGAAGTGCTGGGATTATAGACGTGAGCCACCTCGCCCGGCCACCTGATGTTTTTTGGCACATAACATAGTCTATGGTATCAATCAATACCTATTTATTTTAGTAGTGGTGAGGTAAGAGATAGGACTTGACTCCAGGTGTGGGACTTGGACACTGAACAAGATTGAGAAATGACAACAACAAAGAAATAAGAAATGAAAAAAAAAAATTGAGGACTAGCTAAAACAGGGCCTAGGGGTAAGCAGCTTTCCAGTGACATGCCCACCAGTGTGCCATGTCAATTTATCATCGCCATGGCAACACCCAGGCGTTACCACCCCTTTCCATGGCAATGACCCAAAAGTTACTATCCCTTCCCTAGATATTTCTTCATAAGCTGCTGCTTAATGTGCATGCAATTAAGAGTAGGTATAAATATGACTGTAAAACTGCCCTAAACTGCTACTCTCTGCCCTGCTCTGCACAGGGAATCAAGAGAGCTATTACATTGCCTCTTCGATAAAGCTGTTTTTTTGTTTTTTTTTTTTTGAGATGGAGTCTTGCCCTGTTGCCCAGGCCAGAGTGCAGTGGCACAATCTTGGCCCACTGCAACTTCTGCCTCCCAGGTTCAAGTGATTCTCCTGCCTCAGCCTCCCGAGTAGCGGGGATTACAGGTGCATGCCACCACACCCAGCTAATTTTTTGTATTTTTAGTAGAGACGAGGTTTCACTATGTTGGCCAGGCTGGTCTCGAACTCCTGACCTCAGGTGATCTGCCTGCCTCAGCCTCCCAAAGTGCTGGGATGTGAGCCACCACATCCTGCCTGCACCTAGATTATAATATTAGCCTTCTAACTGTTCTTCCTGCTTCAAACCTCTGCCCTGTCCAGTCCCTCCTCAATTCTCACACCAGCGTGATTTTTCTAAAACACTTGCCTGCTTCTGCTTTAAACTCTCCCAGGACCTCCCCATCAACTGATTAAATTCCAGTCTGGACCTGCTGCTTTTTCAAACGTATCTCTTTATTTTGACACATTCAGAATGGAAAAAAAAATGTAACTCTTGCTTTTCTACTGCTTGCTTTAAACACCAGAATAGGATCTACTTATACACACACTCTGCTCATGTTACTTACCTCTGCTTTCCATACATTTTTGTTTTTCTGACTAGATTATCTCCATTCTCTGAAGCCAGTTGTCCTTTAGAGTCCAGCTTAAGGAGTCTCTTCCTCCAGAAAAGCCTCCCTGACCCCCTGCAATATCCTTTATATACCTCTGTTATTTTCCCTAGAATAAGCACTGTCCTATCAGCAGATGACAGTTTTATTGTCATGTTTTAGGAATGGGCTTAATAAGACCTCTGGCTCATGTGACTATACTCTGTGGTGCATGCCTGTAATCCCAGCTACTCGGGAGGCTGAGGCAGGAGAATCTCTTGAACCCGAGAGGCGGAGGTTGCAGTGAGCCGAGATCGTGCTATTACATTCCAGCCTGGGCAACAAGAGCAAAACTCTTTCTCAAAAAATAAAATAAAGTAAAATATAATCTTGTTGCAAAGAGTGAAGGACTGTGGAAATGAAGAGAAGAAGCTGGATTTGAGAGATATAGGAAACAGACTCTAGGACCTAATGACTGGATGGTGGAGGATGAGGGAGAAGGGAGGAAGAGGTCAGATTCCTGGCCCCAGTGACTGGATAGTTAGCGATGTCTTTTCCTAAGATGAGGAGGAATATGTTCAGGGCAATTTCACCTTCAGATATGTTATTTGGGATATCTGGGCGAGCCAAATGGAGGTATTTGGTAGTTGGAAGACTGTGAAGGATAAGCCAGGAAGGACAGTAGAGAATGATGTCACAAATAGAAAGCGAGTGATATATTTTAGAGATGTCAAGAAATACAAAGCCTGCAAAGTGTGAACTGGCATCTAGTGACAATGACAAAACCAACTTCAGGGCAGTGGTACAGGCAGAAGTTCAGTTGAGTGAGTTAAGTGGTGAGTGAATATTGTGTAGGGAAAGAGGGCCAGTAGTTAAAGAGGATGTATATCAATGAGGGGATGTTTATTTTTTTTTGAGACGGCCTCACCTCATCGCTCAGGCTGGAGTGCAGTGGTAATGCTCTCAGCTCGCTGCAACCTCCTCCACCTCCCAGGCTCTAGCGATCCTCCCACCTCAGTGTCCCAAGTAGCTGGGACTAAAGGCGCAACACCAAGCCCAGCTAAGTTTTGCATTTTTTATAGAGACGGGATTTTGCCATGTTGCCAAGGCTGGTCTCGAAGTCCTGAGTTCAAGCAATCCACCCTCCTTGGCCTCCCAATGTGGTGGGATTACAGGCGTGAGCCCGCCACTCCTTGCCAGGATGTATATTTGTTTGTTTATGAGAAGGAGTCTTGCTCTGTCACCGAGGCTAGAGTGCAATGGCACAATTTTGGCTCACTGCAACCTCCACCTCCTGGGTTCAAGCAATTCCTCTGCCTCAGCCTCCCGAATAGCTGAGATTATAGGCACCCGTCACTGCGTGTGGCTAATTTTGTGTTTTAGTAGAGACGGAGTTTCACCATGTCAATTAGGCTGGTCTTGAACTCCTGACCTCAAATGATCTGCCTGCCTCGGCCTCCCAAAGTGCTGGGATTACAGGCTTGGGCCCTTCGCGCCTTGCCGGTATGTTTATTTCTAAGGTGAGAGAAACTTGAGAATCCAGTAGTCTCCCCACTTATCTGCTGGGTATATGTTCCACGACCACCAGTGGATGTCTGAAACCTCAGACAGTACGGAACCCGATTGCCATCATTCATACCATCTTTCTGTGCATCTTCCACCTGGAAATGTAATGCCTTTTCCATCTTAACTAAGCACTTACACACACTGTGGCCATAACTTTCGTAGTTTGAGGTACGACAGCAAAACTCCATGAATTTCTTTTATCTTCCTCACAATTTCATGGATAGAAGATTCATTTTTACCATAGATCTTAGCAACCTCAGCATATTTTCTTTCCTTACTAAGTCGAGAACTTTCACCTTTTGACTTCGAGAAAGCACTTTACGGCTTCTCTTAGGCGTATCCGAATTGCCAGCATCACTGCTACTGCTCTTGTGCTTTGGGGACATCATTAGGGCAGATAAAGGCTACTTGAACACAAGCACTGCATCCTCCAGTAGTCGATCTGATAACCAAGATGGCTACAAAGAGATTATGGGGCGGGTGGCGTCTACAGTGTGGATATGCTGAACAAAGGATTCATATCCTGGTCAGATGGTGCAAGATTTCATCATGCTACTCAGAACAGTGTGCAGTTTAAAACTTATGAATTGTTTATTTCTGGAATTTTCCATTTAATATTTTTAGACAACAGTTGACTGCTGGTAAGGAAACTGGGAACGTGAAACTGAAGATAAGGGTTGGGCTACTGTATGGTCATATACCACATATTGATGTTTTGGTCAGTGGTAGACTGCATATACAATGGTAGTCTCATAAGATTATAATGTACTTTTAATGTGCTTTTTCTATATTTAGATGTTTGCTTCCCATTGTGGTACAGTTGCCTGCAGTATTCAGTAGAGTAACATGCTGTACAGGTTTTTAGCCTAAGAGCAATAGGTTTTACCACATATCCTAACTATATAGTAGACTACACCATGTTTGTGGAAGTGCTCTCTGTGATGTACACATAACAAAATCACCTCATGATGCATTTCTCAGAATGTATCCCCATTGTTAAACAACTCATAACTGTGTTTATGTGCAGAGAAGAGTTTGTAGAGAAGGAGGGGGCTTGTTTTGAGCAAGATCCCTGAGAAGGTTTTGGAGGTGCAGAACTGAAAATTCAGCAGAAGTAGAAGCTTTGGACAGGAGGAATTCCTCTTTCCTTGATTGAATTTGTGGAGTAGGAACTGTTGTGAACCTTGGATTCCCTATATGCATGCCCTAGGGAAGGCCTAGATTCTTCGTCAGTTAAATATCACTATTTGGGATTTCTCTCCAAATGAAGTAACTGTCCAGGAAAACATTTGGTTGTTTTTGATTTGATCTAACCCTGTGCTACCCAAAACAGAAGACACTAGCCATATGTGGATGTTTAAGTTAATTAAAATGAAATGAAATGTCGTTTATCAGCTGCTCTAGCCACATTTCAAGTGTTCATTAGTCACAAGTGGCTAATGGTTACAGCATTATTGCTGCCGTACAGCAATAGTCTAATCCATTTTTAAAACAAAAAGTTTCTGTGAGATACATAATTTTAAATTGTGCAATGTTATATATAACACCATGAATTCATTCTAAAAATATAGCCTTTCTTCTTCATGATCCATCGAAAAATGGAAAAAATAGGTATAATAGGTTTTTTTTAAATGTTGGATTTAATATCATTTGATTTAAAAAGATAATGTCAAATTTAAATATCTTGATAGTTTCATGCATGCTAGAACTTTTCACTGGTTCTTAAACCTATTAATCTCATTTAAAAATTCTGCATAGAGTGATCCTGGTTTTTACATAAATATTACTCTTAAACGTGGTTTTTAACTCTTTTCTGAAAACATTTTCAGATGATATTCCTGAAAGCTCACTCTTCTCACCAATGCCATCAGAGGAAAAGGCTGCTTCCCCTCCCAAACCACCAGTTTCAAATGCCTCAGCAGCTCCAGTTGGGAGAAGGGGCCGTCTGGCCAACCTTGCTGCAACTATTTGCTCCTGGGAAGATGATGTAAATCACTCATTTGCAAAACAAAACAGTGTACAAGAACAGCCTGGTACCACTTGTTTATCCAAATTTTCCTCTGCAAGTGGAGCATCTGCTAGGATCAATAGCAGCAGTGTTAAGCAGGAAGCTACATGCTGTTCCCAAAGGGATGGCGATGGCTCTTTGAATAAAGCCCCATCCTCAAGTGCTGATGATGCATCTTTGGTTAATGCCTCAATTTCCAGCTCTGTGGTAAGTCAATATCATTTTGGTCTTTGGAAGCCTTTTCTTTTTTTGTTATGAGTGGTATAATACATCTGTGTGTATATGCAGGTGGATGGGTGGATATGTGTTTTATAATAGGTGCATAGTGAGTTTATATGTATTTGTAAGATAGCAGTTTCTTAGAAACTGAAAATCGTTAAGTTGGATACCCTATCCCAAGATCAATTAGCAGTTGACAGTTGAAGTTATACTAATTTGATGCAAATCCAGTCTATAATGGAATAATAGAGCCTCTTCTTAGTCATTAAGGAGAGCACTGAAAAGTAAGTCCTCTGTTATAATGCTTTAAATATATATAATGAGAAATTTATATAAATTTATCAAATATTCCTGAAAAGATGTATAACAAATTAGTAGCTATAGTTGCCTCCAGGAAGGCAAATTGCCAAACAGGGTATGATACTTTCACCGTATATCCTTTTGAAATGTTTGAAACTTTTACTTTGTGCATGTATTACCTCAACAGTTTTCAAAAAACAATCTTAAATAAAAAGGAAAAATAATTTTGTGTTTCTGACCATTGTCTTTTAGTGTACAGCTAGGCTTTAGAATTAGACCTGCATTGAATCCTAGCTCTACCACATAATTAGAAGTGTGACTTTGGACAAGGTGCTTAGTATTACAAGGCTTTATTTTTCTGTATGTAAAATAGGAAAAAAAAGATTATTTGGAGGGTTAATAAGAGTCATAAAACACTTAGCACAGTACCTGGCTATGTATAAGTACTTAATTTATTAACCATCAAGTACATGATACTATTTTGTTAAATTTTTATTGACTTAATTAAAATGTAATTTGGTCTAATATGGTTAAAAATTTGATAAAGGTACTAGTGCAATAATATGAATAAAACTTTTTTTTAAAATAGTGATCGTACTGCTAATACTTAATTACCCATGAATACATTATGCAGACTAACCCACATATTATAATTTAAATAATAGCATTTTTTAAGTTGGGTATTTTTCCCAAATCTTTCATATTTGTTTGATCTATTAGAGAGCAAAATCATTTCATTTTCATAAATCTTACATAAAGGCTATCAAGTAAATAGGACTTGAATTGTTTTGTTATAGGATTACTTTTAGATATTGTGAATGTTGTTTACCCTAGGCGTTTTCATGTTTCAGAAACCTACTTCTTCTCCAGTGAAATCTACTACATCTATCACTGATGCTAAAAGTTGTGAGGGACAAAATCCTGAACTTCCAAAAACTCCTATTAGTCCTCTGAAAACAGAGGTATCGAAACCAATTGTGAAGTCAACTTTACCCCAGACAGTTCCGTCCAAAGGAGAACTAAATAGAGAAATTTGTCTGCAATCTCAATCTAAAGACAAATCTACAACACCAGGTTATGTATTTATAAAAAATTTAAAATTATTGCTGACTATATTCAGGATATCTATTCTCAACATTTTAAATATCCAGTTGTGAATGGTACAGCAATGGTTTGCCAGGGCCAGTGCCTGAATGTTCCAAATGAGACCTCAGCTTTAGTTGATTCAATGAATATTTATTAATGTAGACTAGCCTATTTACTGGTCAAAGGACTTAATATGTTACATTTTAACAGTTTAAACATGCTTTTTCCAGGATGATCTTGCTAGATTTTATTTTCTATATTTTTTGATTCAGACAAAGCATATTTAACTGGAAATCACAGTTTAGGGGCATAATGGAGAAACATTCTTGTAGCCAAGTGTGCAGAGCAGTGCTTCTCAATCTTGAGTATGAAGGCACCTCTAATAGCAGAGAGAAGTGAATGTGCATATGAATGACTCCACCTCTAATTTTATTTATTTATTAAATTGATAAATGATAGAAATATTTGAAAAAATTGCTGTTTATTGGTAAATAATATATATATTTTGGAAGTACATTTGATGATTTAATATATTCATATAATTTGTAAATATCAAATCAGTGTAATGAGGATATCCATCACCTTAAATACTTGTCTTTATGCTAGGAACATTTGAATTCTTCTCTTGTAGCTATTTTGAAGTATACAATAGATTATTGTAAACTATAGTCACCCTACTGATCTATCAAACACTGGGTCTTTTTTGTTCTGCCAAACTGTATATTTGTACTCATTAATCAACCTCTCTTCATCCCCCAATTATATCTATCTGTGTATATATTGTGTGTGAGCATTTACATATAAAAGTTCAAAATTTCTTACCATAGTAAACTGGTACTCCAGGAAATGCCATATTTATCTTGTGGTGATTTATATCTTCTGGCACACTTCCACATGCTGTTAATTGAGAAACACAGGACTAAAATATATGGTAATCGAGTTTATTCTGAACTGTGTTCATTTTCATTGGAAAGACTTTTAATTCTAAGGTTTAACTTTCTGAAAATACAACCTCTGCAGAAACTATAGTTCATCATGAAGGGGCAGTAAACAGAAATGAGAGTGGGGAAGCGGTTATGGGGTAGGTAGAAATCAGCAATTTCCAGTTGAGCTGGAATGAGAATTGGAAACAATAGCAAGATCCCCAGATGGAATAGGACTAGTTAGTCCCAATTTTCTAAAGACTCAATGCTTAGATAAGAAGCATGTGTTTTAATTGTTCTTGACTACTGGATATACCCAGAATCACATTTCCAGGGTTTCAGAGATATTTATTTTAGATACTTCACTGCATTCTTAATGGACTCTAGTTTGGAATATGGCCTGAAGTAGTAATAAGTGACAGGTGAAGTCCTCAAATTATGGCCATGGCTCAAATTCTACTCTTTGCTTGTTTTTGCAAATAAAGTTTTATTGGAGCACAGTCACACCCATTTACTTACATATTGTCTGTGGTTGCTTTCATTCTGTAATGCAGAGCAGAATAGTTGTGACAGAGGCCATATGGCCCACAAAGCTCAAAATATTTAGTGCCTGGCCCTTTACAGGAAAATATATGCTAATCTCTGATATAGATAAGCCTATTTTTATGTAATACAACCTTAGAATCCTCTTGATGGGAGTGATATATGCCCCATTTGCCCTACTTTAAATTTACTTCATACTGTTTCAAATGAGTGCTGTGGAGTTTTTTGTTTTGTTTTGCTGTTTTTGTTTTTGAGACAGGGTCTCACTTTGTCACCCAGGATGGAGTGCAATGAGTGGCATGATCTCAGCTCACTGCAGCCTCAACTTCCCAGATTCAAGCAATCCTTCTGCCTCAGCCCACCAAGTAGCTGGGATTACAGGCATGCCACTACACCTGGCTAATTTTTGTATTTTTTTATAGAGATGGGGTTCCTCCATGTTGCTCGGGCTGGTCTCGAACTCCTGAGCTCAAGAGATCCACCTGCCTCGGTCTCCCAGAGTCCTAGGATTATAGGTGTGAGCCACCATGCCCAACTGAATACTATTTTAAGATACTGTAAAATCAAGGTGTCCTTTTGATAAAATGAATAATCCCTAGTTTTCCTTCTGAAGGAGAAAAAGGAAAAATTCCCTTACTTTCATGTTAGGCTTCCTAAAAGCAAGATAACAAAAATTGACTATAGAAATGTAAGTTATTGGAAGTTACCATGGCCAGCACACTTGGTGATGAAGGTAGATTTATTAATATATATACAGTTAATTTCTAATTATTTAAATTCTGGTTGTTCAGTTTGGGAGTTTTCTAAGCCTTACTGCTCTCTCCTCATTCTACCTTTTTAAAATTATTATTATTTTTTAAATAACTGAATTCTATGAGTAGGTTTTAGGGCATGTACTTAAATAGAATAGTAAAGTAAACTTTTTAAAATTTTGAAGTATTTTTATAGTTTACTTTGTGAATGAATATTCCTGATAAAATCAAAGCATTTTGAAGCTGTAATGTAGTTTAGAACTTTTTCCATAGAAATCATAATAATTTTTTATTTTGAATAGCCTCCAAAAATGTGTATGTTTTCTGTAGGAGGAGCAGGAATTAAGCCTTTCCTGGAACGCTTTGGAGAGCGTTGTCAAGAACACAGCAAAGAAAGTCCAGCTCGTATCACACCCCATAGAACCCCTATTATTACTCCAAATACAAAGGCCATCCAAGAAAGATTATTCAAGCAAGACACATCTTCATCTACTACCCATTTAGCACAACAGCTCAAGCAGGTATGATGTACTGTATTTAACATTATTCATCACATGATACCTGCATATAACCTAGAAATCAAAATGGGTTCTGCTGCCAGTCTTTTTGACTGAGATAAGTAGCATCTTGATTTTGTTTCACTAATTTCAGACAAGAGCGAGCACATTCAGGGTGGTATGGCCGTAGACAGTATCACTCATTTCAAATTAGAAATATTGTCATGAATTCCATGTGTATTGTGAACTTTTTAAACTGCAAACTGTTTAAACCTTTTAAACAGTTTAAAACTGAAAACAAGGAAAATTTTAGTAGTGTTTGGATGTTAAACATGCTACTGGCTCTTGTGTAAAATACAGCTTTTGATGGGTTTAGGAACGTCAAAAAGAACTAGCATGTCTTCGTGGCCGATTTGACAAGGGCAATATATGGAGTGCAGAAAAAGGCGGAAACTCAAAAAGCAAACAACTAGAAACCAAACAGGTAATGTAAACAAGAAATATAAAAGTGGACGTGGTCCCCAAATAGTGTTGGGATCTAATTTGTAGTTCTGTATTGGCAAATAATTCTTTACAGACTTTTCTGTTCCAATTAACTCTGTCACTTTTTGCCTATAAATCCCTTAAATGTGCATAGCAATTCTGCTTTTCTTGTGATATTTTCTATTTCAGTGGAACTCTTCACCATATTCATTGATGACCTTAAAATCAAATTTTATGAAAATTATTTTCATCATTCATTTGATTTCAGAGTCTACTTAACTTTCCACTTAGATGCTGGTTCTGAAATATTTCTGAGAATCTACTTTTCTCATTGATGACTGTATACTTTTCCCTACACACCATGTCTTTAGACTATCTGGGATCCTTTCAGTCACCACACACCTCCCAGATTGCTCTTTATTCTGGTCAAGGTTCGTTAATCAGCCTTCAACAAAATCTCTACGATGTAAGCTGTGTTCTGTTTCATTTACGTGTCTTCAAAGTACTGTGTTAGGATATGTTTTTAAGCTAATAGAATTGTATTTACAGTGGGGACTAATAGAAAGTAAAACAACAGTAAATTTAACCAGTATTCTTTGAGAAAGATCTACTTGATTGATTTATCAGTTCACTTGCTTAACAAATCACATTTCCCAGAGTTCTGATCTCAACCTTTTTTTCTCAGTTGCTCTGGAATATCTCTTCCCTGTCCACATACCTAGATTCCGATAAGCACTGACATGCTGATGATGTTCAGCTCCACTGTGCTGATCTCTCTCCTGAGCTCTAGGTGTGGTTGGCTAGCAGAGCCTGCTATGCTTTGCTGTAGTATCTTCCCCTTGTAGTCTCTGTCTTCTCTTGTTGGTTTACTTTATACCTCATCATCTAAAACAATCTGGAAGTTCTTCCTTGGATTCTTCCTCTTATTTACGGTGTCTTCCCATCTTCTTGCCCCAGCACACATATGCATAAACACACACGTGCAGCGATTAGTTTTCTAAATCTGTCACCAACCTGCCTCGTCTTCTATATTTTCCTCTGCTATTACCAAAGTTACTGCCGTAGCTTTATACTGAACACCCTGCTTCTAGTCTCGCTACTCTCCAATCCACCTTACTAGTTGCTGCCAGAGAAATATATATATATATAAAATTTTTTTTTTTTTGAAACGGAGTTTCACTCCTGTTGCCCAGACTGGAGTATGGGGCGTGATCTTGGCTCACTGCAACCTCTGTCTCCAAGGTTCAAGTGATTCTTCTGCCTCAGCCTCCTGAGTAGCTGGGATTACAGGTGCGTGCCACAATGCCTGACTAATTTTGTATTTTTAGTAGAGACGGAGTTTCTCCATGTTGGTCAGGCTGGTCTTGAACTCCTAACCTCAGGTGATCCGCCTGCCCCAGCCTCCCAAAGTGCTGGGGTTACAGGCATGAGCCACTGCACCCGGCCGAGAAATATTTTTAAAAGTCGCATATTCATGTATTCACTTGCTTAAAATCTTGGAGTGCTCCCCATAGTTGTCATCAGAAAAATTCACAAACTGCTTGGCTTGACATATAGAATGATTCCTCACCTGACGCCTCCCCACTGCTCCTCCACAGGTATGTGTCAGTCCTGCCATGCAGGCTATTTGCAGTTTCTCAAATATACCTATGTTTTTTGTTTTTTGTTTTTTTTTGAGATGGAGTCTCGCTCTGTCGCCCAGACTGGAGTGTAGTGGCGCGATCTCGGCTCACTGCAAGCTCCACTTCCCAGGTTCACGCCATTCTCCTGCCTCAGCCTCCCAAGTAGCTGGGACTACAGGCTCCTGCCACCATGCCCGGCTAATTTTTTGTATTTTTAGTAGAGATGGGGTTTCACCGTGTTATCCAGGATGGTCTCGATCTCCTGACCTCATGATCCGCCCGCCTCGGCCTCCCAAAGTGCTGGGATTACAGGTGTGAGCCATCGCACCTGGCCAAATATGCCATGTTTTCACATCTCTCTGCCTTTGACTTCTGTTATCTGTCAGGTATATCTCCCTGGTGAGCTCACACTTCATTAAGAATAGGTCAAACATTAATCCCCTCTGGGAATTCTTCCTTGGCCCTTTTCTCAAAGGGTCCCACTTTTTTTACCCATGTCATCCTGTGTATACCTCAACTAGAATATTTATCTTCCCATGAATGTTGTAAGTTTGCATTCCACCACTGCCTATGGGAGTCTTCTCTACCTGTGTTCTTAGTGCTTGACTCAGAGTTAGGAGCTCAACAAACTTGTATTTGAAGGAAGGAAGAAATATACTTGCTGATCTTTCCCATCAGCATATAACAAGCTATTATCTGCCATCTGAAAACAAAAACAACTCTCGGGACCCTGTTCCCCTCCTTTTCTTTGCCTCCTTTTCATGCAGACTCTTCTACAAGTTATTCCTACTTGTTGCTTTCAGGTTTCCTCCTTCTCTCTAGAACTCTCTGCTTAAGCTTTGCCATCACTCCTTCCACAGAGTCAGTATCCTTATCACATTTGTCAGTGATCTTCACCTACTAATCAATTTTCAGTTGATTAGTAGCATTTGACATTGTCGATCACTCTTCTCTTGGGACTGCCTTCTTCACCTGGTTGCCAGCATATCATATTCTCATGGCTTTCCGCCTGTGTCTCTAGAAAGTATAGAGCAGGGTTCTTAAAGTATTTTGTACTAAATAATTCCCAATAAACCTGTGAAATTCCTCCCAGAAAGTTGCACATATAAGAGCTAGGAGGAAAATGCAGTTGAAGGCAGTGTTTTTAAAGTCAAGGGGCTGGGTGCAGTGGCTCATGCCTGTAATCCCAGCACTTTGGGAGGCTGAGGCAGGTGGATCACTTGAAGTCAGGAGTTTGAGACCAGCCCGGCCAACATGGTGAAAACCTATCTCTACTAAAAATACAAAAAGAATTAGCCAGGCATGGTGGCGGGTGCCTGTAATCCCAGCTACTCAGGAGACTGAGATGGGAGAATCCCTTGAACACAGGAGACGGAGGTTTCAGTGAGCCGAGATTGCACCACTGCACTCCAGCCCAGGCGATAGTGTGAGACTCTGTCTCAAAAAAAAGAGAAATAAAGTCAAGGGAAGAAAGAAAACTTTTGAGAAGGAAGGAGTGGTTGGTATTGTCATGTTTCAAATGTGGGATAAGCCAAATCCTCTGGGTTTTGAAGTGAGAAGTTTGCTGTAACGTGGCAAAGAGCAGTGTTAGTGAAGAGGTGAAGGTGGCATGCAGGTGGTGCTGAGTGGAGGAGGGAACGGGCATGAGGAGCAGGGCCAATGAGTGCAGGCATTTCTTAGAAGAAGTTTGGTCCTAGTGGAGGGGAGAAAGGAGGTAGTGACTAGAGGAGATGAAGAAAAGTATGGTTTGTATGTGTTTTGTCCTTTCTAAGACCTAAGTCAATTTGTGTGATGGGATAAGGGGTGACAATTAATGGGATGAGGTGAGAATGGATGAACTCAGCACAGTGAAGGGAACAGAACTGATGAGGGCAATCTCCTGTGATGAAAAGGAAAGAGGAAAGTAGCATGTAGGTATGCTGGTAGTCTTAGAGCTATGAGAGCAAACACTGATGGGCTTTCTGCTGAAACCTCCTGTTTCATTCATCCTTAGGAAAGGGAAGGTGACAGGGAAATACTGTGGAGGAAAGAAGAGAGAGCTGACTCAGACATAGGAAGAATAGGGGGTAGTGTTGAGACTTAGTTGAGATGAGACCATACATTTTGTAGTGGAACCATTTGATAATTTACTATGCTTTTAGTGTTTTTTAAACATTTTTGCGTATTTTTTTAATCCACTCATCTTCACACTAATTACATTGCTTTTACACATCCAAAGCTGCTTCTAACTTGAGAGACTATTAATAAGTCTGGAACTAGACCTGGAACAAGAGTACCTGGGTTTGTATACTGGCTCTGCCAGTCACTAACTGTGTGCAAGATACTTAACTTTTTTGTGTCTTAGCTCTCTCATCTGTAAAATGGAGATACTAGTACCTAACGTAGAGGGTTATTGGGAAGATTAAGTGAGGCAATAGATATAAGGTGCTTAGAAAGGTGGCTGGCACATATTGAGCTCTGTGTAAGTATTAGCTGCCTTTATCTTTACTCTTATTTGATGATTTCTACTATGACTTTATTCATAAAGTCTTCTTTTATTTCTTTGATGAAATAATCTGTACAACAGCATAAAGTCTTTAAACACGCAAAAAAAAAATAGTGAATGTTCCTCTTAAATAACCTTGCTAATGAATAAAAAGACTCAGATGAGGGAAAGATTTCTTCTCTTCTTTCGTTACCTTCTGATCTGTTTTGTCCTTGTTTTCTCTTGCTCTTGCCCTCTGGGTAACTGATAGTTAAATGGAATCCTGATGTGTAGGAGCTGTCGCCAGATGTTATAGGTGTGGGTTTAGATAAGGGGTGATATGGGGTGGGTATTTTTCCCTTGTATGGCTTTCACTTTGTTTTTTTGTTGTTATTTTGTTTTATTTTACCAAATACCCAGACTTCATGGAGAGGCTTTCACTTTTATTGGCTTATCTAAAACTGCGCCCTGATGTGAATTTTTGTTCTTTCTTGCCACCTCCTCTCCAAAAGAGATTTTACATACTGAGAATTACCAAGAATGTGAACTAGCACTGAGGACTTGTTGTGTTCTAAACAAGACTGGGCCTATTCACACACACAGTTTCTTTTGTTCTAAGGAAACTTATACAGAGTAATATTTAATAATAATCTTGTTTCATTTAATAACATAGAAATAAAATCTATAGTTTTGAGAAATGAAATTTACTTTTTCATTTGCTTTTTGCAGGAAACTCACTGTCAGAGCACTCCCCTCAAAAAACACCAAGGTGTTTCAAAAACTCAGTCACTTCCAGTAACAGAAAAGGTGACAGAAAACCAGACACCAGCCAAAATTTCCAGTACAGAACCTACAGGTCAGTGTTTCTAGATTGTTCATGGTTAGTATGTAGAAACTCAAATGATTTTTGTGTGTTGATTTTGTATTCTGTAACTTTGCTGGATTTGTTCAACGGTTTTTTGGGGAATCTTTAGGGTTTTCTTTCTTTTTTTGTTTTCCTTTGAGATGGAGTCTCGCCTTGTCACCCACGCTGGAGTGCAATGGTGCAATCTCAGCTCACTGCAACCCCCGCCTCCTGGGTTCAAACGATTCTCCTGCCTCAGCCTCCCGAGTAGCTGGGATTACAGGTGCCTGCCACCACGCCAAGTTAATTTTTGTATTTTTAGTACAGACGGGGTTTCACCATGTCGGCCAGGCTGGTCTGAAACTCCTGACCTCATGATCCGCTTGCCTCGGCCTCCCAAAGTACTGGGATTATGGGGGTGAGCCACTGCGCTCAGACCAGGGTTTTCTACATATATGGTCATGTGATCTGTGAATAGAGATAATTTTACTTCTTCCTTTCTAATTCAGGTGCCTTTTATTTTCTTGCATAATTGCTCTGGCTGGGACTTTCAATGCTGTGTTGAATAGAAGTCATTAAAACAGGCATCTTTGTCTTGTTCCTCATCTTAGAGGAAAAGCTTTTAATCCTTCACTGTTGAGTATAATGTTAGCTGAGGGCTTTTCATATATGGCCTTTGTTATGTTGTGTACCTTCCTTCTATTCCTAGTTTGTTTTGTTTTGTTTTATTTTGTTTTGTTTTGTTTTTTGAGATGGAGTCTTGCTCTGTTGCCCAGGCTTGAGTGCAGTGGTGCGATCTTGGCTCACTGCAAGCTCCGCCTCCCGGGTTCACTCCATTCTCCTGCCTCAGCCTCCTGAGTAGCTGGGACTACAGGTACCCGCCCCACGCCTGGCTAATTTCTTTTTGTATTTTTAGTAGAGACGGGGTTTCACCGTTAGCCAGGATGGTCTCAGTCTGCTGACCTCGTGATCTGCCCGCCTTGGCCTCGCAAAGTGCTGGGATTACAGGCTTGAGCCACCGTGCCTGGCCTGACACTTTGTTTTTAAAGTAAAAAACAAATTGCAGAGTAGTATATATGGTATGATCACAGAACGAAACAAAATGGTATGTAAATATGCATACCTAGGGGGAAACTGGAAAAACAAACAATAACCTGGTAATATTGCTGTCCCATTTCTCTCTCGATGGGGGAAAAGTTAACGCATTTATGCCTAGTGTTCTGTTATTGGAATGTTAAGCTTGTGGGAGTTACTTATATCCTACTGCTCACGGTTGTCACCGAGGTCTGATTTTTCACAAAAAAAATTTGCAACCTCTGGCATAAATGGGTTAAGAGAGGACATGTATTCAGGGAGGGGTGTTTCTATACATTTCTGCGTTTGAATATTTTAAAACAAATACATAGTTTTATAATCAGAAAAAAAGACGCAAGATTCCTTAACTAGAAAATTATAGGTTCTTATGTATATATTAATATGATCTTTCTTAAACATTTTTAGGTTTCACTGAATGCAAAATGACGAAATCTAGTCCTTTGAAAATAACATTGTTTTTAGAAGAGGACAAATCCTTAAAAGTAACATCAGACCCAAAGGTTGAGCAGAAAATTGGTTGGTTTTTATTTTTTATTTATTATTAACTTTGCACATACTATAGGAAATGATATATTGATAGAAGCACATATTCAAATTGAGAGTGTCTCTGTTTTTTTAATTAAATCAGAATATACTGTAGCTTCTACCAAGATGTGGTACTGTTAACAGTTACTGCTAGCTCACAGGCATCTGTGAAAGTGTGGTTAAGACCCTCACTGACTTTCACAGGGATAGGAAAGGTGTTGCCCTCCCACACTGTGTACTGGTAGAGGGGTGTTTCAGGGAAAACCTGTCTGGGACCGTGTTTTCCTCTGTTTTCGTAGCACCACATCAATCATCAACACAGAAGACTTTTGTGACCAGTTCAATTCAACTCAATTCTGACACTAGCTACATGGAGGTAGCGTCAGATCCCACAGGTTGGGGACTCAGTCCCCAAGACTGCCTCCTCTCCTTCAGATACTAGTTGCAAGTCCAGGCCTCTCAAACTTCTTCTTTTTTTTTTTTTTTAAAGACAGAGTCTCACTCTGTTACCCAGGTTAGAGTACAGTGGCATGATCTCGGCTCACTGCAACCTCCGCCTCTCAGGTTCAAGCGATTCTCCTGCCTCAGCCTCCTGGGACCACAGGCGCGCACCCTCAAACCCGGCTAATTTTTGTATTTTTAGTAGAGACGGGGTTTCACCATATGGGCCAGGCTGGTCTCGAACTCCTGACCTCGTGATCCACCCGCCTTGTCCTCCCAAAGTGCTGGGATTACAGGCATGAGCCACCACACCTGGCCCAGGCCTCTTAAATTTCTAACCGACCAGCTTCAAGCTGAGGTTTCTGTGACCCCCTCTTTAGCTTTGATTAATTGGCTCACAGAACTCTGGGAAATACTTATGTTTACTGCTTTATTATAAAGGATATGGGTGAGGTATAGGGAAGGGGGCATGGAGCTTCCATTGCCTTCCCTGGGTACCACCCTCCAGGAACCTCTACTTGTTCAGTTATCCAGAAGCTCCCTGAACCCAGTTCTCTTTGGTTTCACTGGAAGCTTCATAAAGTCAGCATTCCCTCCCCCAGGGTATGAGGCTGGATCCTCTCTGGTGGGGTGTGCGGGGGGTGAGGGGTCTTCTTAAGAACCACAGTGAGAAAGATGGGAGAAGATTAGAGACCTGCCTTGGGGCAGGTGAAAGGAGGGCAGGAGAGTTCTGTTTCCTGTGAGGCCTAATACACCCAGCATTATAATGAAAGACAGTAACTAGGGATACGGCCGTTATGAACGAGGAATCATGGATGAAAACCAGTATGTATCATAATAGGGTGTTAGCAGCCCTGAAGATTATTATCGAACCCTGCTCTGAGTGACGTTAATAGTTTCCTATTATTGACTGCTGTGTGAAAGGGTAGCTCTCAACAATAGAAAAGGTCATTTGAGAGAATATTTTTTGAAAGTCTGAAGTCTTTGGCTATTATTCTACATTTGAGTTCTTAATGCTGTTACTTAAACACAAAGTATTAAGTCAGTTTTGATAGACCCAATATTCATTTCTTTTTTTTCCTGAGACAGAGTTTCGCTCTTGTCACTCAGGTTAGAGTGCAATGGCACCATCTGCGCTCACTGCAACCTCTGCCTCCTGGGTTCAAATGATTCTCCTGTCTCAGCCTCCTGAGTAGCTGGGATTACAGACACCTATCACCACGCCTGGCTAATTTTTTTTTTGTATTTTTAGTGGAGATGGGGTTTCGCCATGTTGGCCAGACTTGTCTCGAACTCCTGACTTCAGTTGATCTGCCTGCCTTGGCCTCCCAAAGTGCTGGGATTACCAATATTCATTTCTTAGAAAATGTTATTGAAACTGAAGATTATCTTGGTTTCCTTTATTAGTAGTATTTGCTTATTTTTCTTTTTAGGAGGTGCTTTTTTAAGGCATTTTTCCTATTTAGTAAGAATACGAATATTAAATTTTCTTTGTTATGCCTTTAATTCTTAAATGTCTGAGTCACAGTATCCACCTATTGAAATATTTTTCAGACGTGATACGTGAAATTGAGATGAGTGCGGATAATGATGATGATATCAATAGTTCAAAAGTAATTAATGACATCTTCAGTGATGTCCTAGAGGAAGGTGAACTAGATGTGGAGAAGAGCCAGGAGGAGATGGATCAAGCATTAGCAGAAAGCAGCGAAGAACAGGAAGATGCACTGAATATCTCCTCAATGTCTTTACTTGCACCGTTGGCACAAACAGTTGGTGTGATAAGTCCAGAGGTAAGAGAAGGCTAACTAAACAGGCCCAGGATATAAGTAAACTAAGTAGTTTCTTATCTCCCCTTTCTCTTGTTGACAGATGGGCATTTGGCTCTGTAGCCAAGGGGGTTTTGCAAACCTCTAGTCAGTTCTCTTAAAAGAAACCTTAAAACTCTTGAGTGGTTTCCTTTTGACCTTAGATAGAATCCAAACAGTAACATGGCTTAAAAGGCCAGACATTTGGGCTCAGCTTTTGGCTCTGCCATTTACTGACTGTTTATTGGTCAGGTTATTTAACCTCTCTATGCCACCGTTTCCTCTTCTGTTAAACGAGGTTATTCATAATACCTATATCGTGGAGTTGGTGTGAACACTGTTGTGTTAGTATATCAGTATTTAGCTCCAAACACATATAACTAACATTTATTTACAGCTAACTACTGTTATTAGCTTTCACTCTCAATTGAATAACTGCAACTCTGGGGATTGATTCAACTAGAATTTTTTTTTTTTAAAGTATGAGTTTCAGCTGTCTTTGTAGTTTTATTTATTCTTTTATGTGTTAGGAACTTAGTTTGCTTTGTTTTTATGATTAATCAATCAACTTACTGGATTTTTTTCTTAATGGAGAATTCATTGATTTTTTTTCACACAATAAAATGAATTATCATTTAGGATCAATGTTATTTATCCATAAAATCCACTAATATCTGATGTGTTTTCCCCCAGAGTTTAGTGTCCACACCTAGACTGGAATTGAAAGACACCAGCAGAAGTGATGAAAGTCCAAAACCAGGAAAATTCCAAAGAACTCGTGTCCCTCGGGCTGAATCTGGTGATAGCCTTGGTTCTGAAGATCGTGATCTTCTTTACAGGTAAGAACATTTCTGGAAGGCATTCACTCACTAAGGGTCATGGTTTAGATTGACATTAAGTCGTGTTATAATTTGTAATTATAATGTTATTAATAACTCATCTGTATAAAAGTTTGGAATAACTTTTGTTAGCCTCTCTTTCACCAAATGAGAGTTCCATTCTGTTGTGAAATGTTCTGCTGACATGTTCAATATCAGTGTCAAATTCTGCTGATATATTCAATAAAGGATAGTGCTCAGTGTGTTGCTAGATTTCTAATAGAATGTAACTTACCTCCTGAAGCATTGATGCATATAGATCTCAAAGATTCAAAGAAACAGAACGTCCATCAATAAAGCAGGTGATTGTTCGGAAGGAAGATGTTACTTCAAAACTGGATGAAAAAAATAATGCCTTTCCTTGTGAAGTTAATATCAAACAGAAAATGCAGGTATGTACTTCTGTGGAAAGGGGATTTGGAATGTTTCTTGCACTAGGCTGTGAGCTTTGTGAGGACAAGGGCCCAGCCTTACTCATCTCTGAACCCTGAGTGGCCAGAATAGTGTCTGATGCATAGAAGCTCAGTAAATCACATTTGAATTAAGTTTATTTTTGGAAAGGTACTCATTTTGAAAAGTTGGAAACTTCTTTGATATTGCTGAAATATTTATTTTTAAACAGGTTTTTCATAAATATCCTTAAAGTATAACTATTAATTGGGTAATGATGTAGTGGGAAATTTGTTATGCACTTCAAGGTTTTTTCATGCTAAGAAGCTTTTTTTTTTTTTTTTTTTTTTGACACACCGCTTTGCTCTTTGTTGCCCATGTTGGATTGTAATGGCGCAGTCTTGGCTGACTGCAACCTCTGCCTCCTGGGTGCAGGTGATCTCCTGCCTCAGCCTCCCAAGTAGCTGGGATTACAGCCATGCACCCCCACACCCGGCTAATTTTTGTATTTTTAGTAGAGATGGGGTTTCACTATGTTGGTCAGGCCAGACTCGAACTCTTGACCTTAAGTGATCCACCCACCTCAGCCTCCCAAAGTGCTAGGATTACAGGCATAAGCCACCATGCCTGGCTTTTTAAAAAATTTTAATTATGAAAGAAAATAGAGATGGAATGTCACCGTGTTGTCCAGACTGATCTCACACTCCTGGGCTCAAGTGATTCTTGTGCTTTGGACTCCCAAAGTGCTGGGATTACAGGTGTGAGCTACCATGCCTGGCCCTAAGGAAGCATATTTAAAAAGCAGCGTAATTGTGATGTAAATAAAATGAATCAAATACTTTATAAATTTCTATTTTGTTGGACATAACCCCAATTTTAACTTTAATAAATATGAATTGGAAGTTTTTTCATAAGAAATAATATTTATAGCTTAATTATTATAACGTGCTAAATGTTTTTGGTGCATAGTCTAGAAACTTGAGCAGTGAAACTAACATTTTGACTTTACCGTCTGGAAATTCTAGAAACTATCCAATCAAGTTAGTTAGAATTAAAGTTTAAAGTGAAAATGATGATTTAAAATATGTGTATTTTTTCTCCTCTCATTGGTTTTCCTAGGAACTCAATAACGAAATAAATATGCAACAGACAGTGATCTATCAAGCTAGCCAGGCTCTTAACTGCTGTGTTGATGAAGAGCATGGAAAAGGATCCCTAGAAGAAGCTGAAGCAGAAAGACTTCTTCTAATTGCAAGTACGTGTGATGTACCTGAAAGAATTCCAACAAATTTCTAATCAGGGAAAACTCATTTTGATATTTAGAAATCTTTAAGTTTAGAGAAAGGGCTTTTCCTAGTCATCTGTTCCAGTGGATCTATTTTTTGTTCTTGTTTTTATAAGGTTTAAGAACTCTATGTAAAACAAATTGTAGTTTGCATGAAAGGTAAAAGCAACTGAAATGCATTCGAAGAAATGCAGTTGTGCAGATTGAATGAATGAATGGATGAATGAATGAATCTCTATATATACACATGTACCCATACATTCTCTCTCTCTCTGTCTCTCCCTCCCTTCCGTTATCAATAAATAGCTAAAACAACTGAATTTTGCTGTGTGCATATATGGTGGTGATGATGGGGCATGTTGGGGTGGACAGATGATACCACACATGAAAACTAGCTGAAAGTTGATTTATTAAATCATAAGGACTTGGTAAATAGATGAGCAATCAAGGTTTTCCCCATCCACCTATCGTCTGTTTTATAAAGATAGTGTTACTAATTTCGTCTTTATGTGTTATGTACAGTTTCCACATCAGTACACTTTTTTGAATTTGCTCTCATTAGAAACAGTTACAATTTTAATATTTGGAATATTGCGTGTTTCACATAGCTGAGAAGAGAACACTTTTGATTGACGAATTGAATAAATTGAAGAACGAAGGACCTCAGAGGAAGAATAAGGCTAGTCCTGTATCCCAAAGTGAATTTATGCCATCCAAAGGATCAGTTACTTTGTCAGAAATCCGCTTGCCTCTAAAAGCAGATTTTGTCTGCAGTACGATTCAGAAACCAGGTATGGTGGTGATTTTTCTAGATTGTGTGTTAAAATTATGAACCTCACCTAGATTGAATTGTACAGGATAGAAACAAGTAAATCATGCATAACAATGCAAAGTTTGTATCTTTGGCCTTTAGGTCCTTTTATCAAGATTTAATAAAAATAACTAAGGTAAAACTTCAGATATATATGGGGATACCAATCTATACAATAATGGGCATTGCTCTTACTGAAAGTTTGAATATAAAGTTTTATTAAATGTTGGATATGGTTTTTATAGTTCTTTTTAAAATTTTATTTGTGTGGAACATACTTTTTGAGGGGAAGGAGGGCTGGACACAGGTGAGAAGTAAATTTCAGGCATAGGGAAAGTAAATAGAGAGAAAGGTTTGAGCATTTTTGTAGGAATAAGGTAACTTAGGTTCTAATTCTTGCTGTTACCTGATTTTGATGGGGTGTGGCCAGAAATTTATTGGTAATTTAGTATGTGTCTTGAGGTATGTGGTTATTAATGACAAATAGTGAAGAAACAGTTTATGTTTTTATTATAATTTATCTCTGAGTAACTTTTATAGATATATAGTATTTTAATCTCAGTTTTGAAATAACAAACCATAATTTGCCCTTTTGAGATATATACTATTAGTTGAGAATTAAGGGTCATTAGGTAAAATTCAAAATCAGCAGAAATTGAGGAATGTGGAGTGAAATTATTTCAATTTACATCGTAGGGAGAGACCTTGATGATGCTTATTTCAGGATTATACTGCCTACTTAAGTCTTATTTAGCTTTCTGTGTCTGGAAAGTTGATTTTAGTAATTTTAAAAATAAATTGTATATAAATCAGTTCAGTATTCCTTTATTTCTTTAGTATTCCAGAATGCCGATTAGCTAAATCTGATTTTGCTTGTGCTTATTATGTAATGTGATTACTTCTTGCAGATGCAGCAAATTACTATTACTTAATTATACTAAAAGCAGGAGCTGAAAATATGGTAGCCACACCATTAGCAAGTACTTCAAACTCTCTTAACGGTGATGCTCTGACATTCACTACTACATTTACTCTGTAAGTAAATCAGGCTTTTGATGATTCGAATGCATTTTTCTTTTTGTAGAGTTGATATAGTCTAAAGCATTCAGGTGGCATTTATAATCTTTGAAATGCATTATGCACATTCTTTTTATATTGACAGATAACCCATCTTTAAATTTGTTGCTTTAACTCATATGTGTCTATCTTTCCTTTTGTTGAGAAGCATCTTTTTTCCATGTGACTGTAGGTATTGCGTATTTTGAAATGATACATATATTAAACCTGGACCATAGATTTTTAACATATGCCTTAAATCTCATAATGTACTTAACATTCAGTCTTAATGAAAATACATTTATATTTAGTGAAACATTTATTTTTAAATAAGAGTCAAAGTGCAGTTTGAAAAATAATTACTATTATTATTGAAGATTGTGAGTTGTAAAATACTGAGGAAAAAATTTTGGACTTGCATTATAGGAAAAAATAGACTTCTTAACAATTTTTACTGTCTTTAAAGACATAGACATAGTAGATTCCTTTACTCTCAGAGTCTTGTAAGAGTATTTGCAGCATCATTTTTAATGGTGTGATTGAGGTGTTCTCTCAAGGTTTTATTTAATGCTTTATTTTTCCAGGCAAGATGTATCCAATGACTTTGAAATAAATATTGAAGTTTACAGCTTGGTAAGCTGATAAAGCCTTCTAAAATAATGAAGAGTATAGTTTTCTTAACAGTATCAGATTATAAATTAATTATGTTTTGGGTTTGTGTGTAGGTGCAAAAGAAAGATCCCTCAGGCCTTGATAAGAAGAAAAAAACATCCAAGTCCAAGGTGAGAATTAAAGAAACCCAGTAAAAATATTTTCATCAGAAGTAATAGATGTCATCATACCAGTTTTAATTTATGTACAACTTTTAATGATTATGAAGTTTTTGGATAAGTTTCACCTTCCAATTTGTAGTTACTATGTTAAATAGGTATGAATACTGAAAATAAACTGTGAGTGATCATGATTCTCAGTATGAGTTGCTGATACACTTGGGCTAGATAATTCTATTTTCTCTACATTTACTTGACAACTTTTATAACTGCTTAAAACTTTTCTCAAGACTTTGCCCTGAGCTCTCTTCTCTCTGTGTTCTCTAAACTAGTACTTAGGAATTATGCCGTCACTTTACAGGCATAAGGTTGCCTTCCAGCCTTCCCAGGCTGTGTTCTTTTCTTCTTTTCTTAAGTCATCATTTTAAAACTTTTTTCTTTAGCTCTAACAGAAAAGGACTAACAGTATAAGAAAGTCTTAATCAGGGACTCAAGTGTAATGTATTCATATTTAAGAATTAATTACTCAAGGACTCAAGTTTAATATATTCATATTTAAGAATTAATTCTTTTTTTTTTTTTGACATGGAGTCTCGCTTTGTTGCCCAGGCTGGAGTGCAGTGACACGATCTCGGCTCACTGCAACCTCTGCCTCCTGGGTTCAAGCGATTCTCCTGCCTCAGCCTCCCGCGTAGCTGGGACTACAGGTGCATGCCACCACACCCAGCTAATTTGTCACATTTTTAGCAGAGAAGGGGTTTCACCATGTTAGCCAAGGTGGTCTCAATCTCTTGACCTCATGATCCGCCCGCCTCAGCCTCCCAAAATGTTGGGATTACAGGCGTGAGCCACTGCACCCAGCCAAGAATTAGTTATTTTCTATGTAGGAATTTCTCAAGGTTGGATAGTTTTACATTCTGAGACATGATGTTTGATAAGAAATATATATAGTAAGCTATCTTTTCTTTTAGGCTATTACTCCAAAGCGACTCCTCACATCTATAACCACAGTAAGTAGAATTTTTGAGAAATTGAGCTTCCTTGAGAAATCTTCATCTTACACATAACAATTTTAAATTGGTTAATCATTTCTGAACCTTGAGCACTGTGGAAAATTTTAACATGTACTAATGGGGGAAATCCCTGTAATTTATGTAGGAAAAGTGTTTTCTGAAATGTAGTTCTTATTGTGTTAAAAGAGATGAGTGATTCGTATTTAAATCTTGGTATCAAATAAGGAAAATAACTTATGTTTCTTCTTCACACCTGTTTTTTTTAGAAAAGCAACATTGCTTCTTCAGGTGAGTGTATCTTGAACTATATGAAACTTTAGAATAAGGTAAGGAATTAAGCACTTGCATATTTACATATGTATAGGCCATCTTGATTTATGAATGTTTACCTTGATCTCCTTTGGAATAATATTTTCTATGTGGGTTTCTTAGTTACAAGATTACTGGCCAGAGTAGCATGCAGTTTGGTTGTACCTTTGTTAGGTACCATCATAGAGGCACCAGTCGTCATGTTATTCAGCTCTAGCAGCAGGTAGCATTACTCTTTACCTCAACTCCTGTTGTATAGATTTGTTTTGTGCTATCCATACTGCAGATTTTGCTACTTTTGGCTTTACTGATCATAACTGGCATTGTATCATGTCAGAAATGCATCTTTCTAGTTCACTGGGAACTAGAATGCCGCCAAGCCAGGAAAGGCCTTCTTTAGAATGACTTTAGGCTTACCTTTTTCCAAAAGGAATTAGGATGAAGCTGGTTTCACTCGCTTCCTTTAGGCTATTGGTCTTTCTTCTCTGTGGCACAAGAGATTTACTAAGAGACCTGTGCAGAGATAGTTTCTGCTGCTGGTTTTGTCACCCTGCATTGTAACTAGCACTGAAGTCTTTTCCATGTTTTTTATTGGGAAGTTGCTTTTTATGCATACAGTTTTAGGTCTATATCTTTAAAAACATATCCATCCCAATTATTAAGGAGTGCTTGTACCTCCCTTAAATTAATAGTTTTCTTTCATTAGGAAATAAGTTGATTTTTTCCCCCATATTTAAAGATGAAGGAAAATGAGGCAGTTTTTTTTTTTCTCTGTGGCAGCTTAATTTTCTTCTACCGGGGTGGGGTGAGGAATTGTTATTTATACTTAACAAAAGTCATTCTGAACTAAACTTAATTTCCTCGTTCTTCACAGTCATGGCCAGTCCAGGAGGTCTCAATGCTGTGCGAACCAGCAACTTCGCCCTTGTTGGATCTTACACATTATCATTGTCTTCAGTAGGAAATACTAAGTTTGTTCTGGACAAGGTAATCCAACTTTATTTGTGAGGGTGTGGTGTTTTTTTTAATCTTAGAAAAATTAGGTCAATGGAAATGCCACAATGCTTTTAGGTATTTGAAATCTTCAACTGAAAATGTATGTTCTTAGAATTGCACATTTTTGCTAGGTATGAGTGTACCTAAATGATTTTTTTTTTGGTATTGGAAGTATGTCTCCCTTTTAATAGTTAGAACTTCAGTGAATGCTTGTTTATTCTAAGTATCACTTCTGGCTAAGAAGTATTACTTCCTGCATTTAGATGTTAAGTTTATAATTTTAAAACATAATACCTTGCCTATTTCCATTTCTGTGGTTTTTTTTTTTTTTTTTTGAGACAAAGTCTCACTCTGTCACCCAGGCTGGGGTGCAGTGGCCTGATCATTGCTCACTGCAGCCTCAACCTCGTGGGCTCCCACCTTAGCCTTCCAAGTAGCTGGGACTACAGGCGCATGATACCATGCCTGGCTAATTTTTTATATTTTTTTGTAGGGATATGGTTTCATCGTGTTGGCTAGGCTGGTCTCGAACTCCTGGGCTCTGGTCATCTGTCTGCCTTGGCCTCCCAAAGTGCTGGGATTATAGGTGTGAGCCACATTGCCCGGCCAGCCTATTTGAACTTATATTTAGAAATGAGCAATATTTTATGAATTTAGTTTTGACAAGATAGTGAAAAGTAGATTAACCTCTTAGAAAAGTACTTATGAATCTAAGAGATTTCCTTCTCATACTTCCCTTTCATATTAGAAGCTTCAAAAATCAGGTCTGTGTTAACGTCACTTTTGAGTCCTTTTTCATCAAGACTATTTTAAGGAGTGAGACTAACTAGAGGCAAATTTTATTTCTTAGGTTGACTTCTATATGATACAGTGATAATTTATATTATCAAATGAGATTTCTGTAGTGAGAATAGAGAGTTGAAGAAGTATAAAAATTAGAAGCCCTGGTTTCTAGTATTTACCCTTAGTGATTTACTCTTTAACATTGAGCAAAGTCAACTCATTTCTCTAGGGTCTTGTTTTCCAGTACAGAATATTAAGTTAGCCTGAAACTAAAATTCTATGAAATGCTCTCTTTTAGTTGATGGACAAAAAGCAGACTGTATTTGAAATTTTTATTACTATTAATGCATAAATGTATTTTAACAAGTTAATTTTAAAATTTTTTGTAACTTTTTATTTAGTAATTCAGCTACTTTAACCAGTTGAGTGATCCTGGGTTTTTTTCTCTCTGTCTTTTATTTTGTCTGTTTTAGATAAATTATGATGTAAGAGAGCGAGAGCTACTGGGCTATTTGTTCCAGGAAAAGGTTGTCATTATTTTCTTTGCTTGAAACTAATGAGCTTAAAAATCAATCCTTAATTTTTGATCTACATATATTTGTTTTACTAACTATCTTTTTGTTTACTTTGAATAATTAAGGACATTATGTACATTATTCTATCATGAGACTCTTATAGATGGGCGTCTTGTTCTCCACTCTCATAATACTTTAAAGCCTTCTTTGAAAGTTTTCTATTTTTTCAATGCATGTTTGGTGTTTTGGTCTTTTTCCATATTCTTTCTTCTCTCTTATAGTTCATTAAAATCCTGTATTCACTTCAATATTGATTTTTCTAGGTACAATTATAATACCAAATTATTAACTATATTTAAAACTAAGAATTATTCAATATTTTTGACCTCCTGTATACTTGAAGAGCTATTGGTGATGTTTTAAATAAAAGCAGAATTTGTTTTTTTTTTTTTTTTTTTTGAGACAGTTGTGCTCTGTCACCCAGGCTGGAGTGTATTGGCATGATCTCGGCTCACTGCAACCTTCGCCTCCTGGGATTACAGGTGCCCGCCACCACACCTGGCTAATTTTTGTATTTTTAGTAGAGGCAGGGTTTCACCATATTGGTCAGGCTGGTATTGAACCTCCTGACCTCAAATGATCAACCCGCCTTGGCCTCCCAAAGTGCTGGGATTATGGACGTGAACACTGTGCCTGGCCAAAAGTAGAAAATTTTTATGGTCTTAATTGGCTAATAGGTATTTTGCTATATAGATGACCCTTTGCTTGTTAATTTTGAAATTATAATACATTTAACACTAAAATTATACTGAATATAATAATATGTTTTGGAAAACTTTTTAAAGTTTTTTTTCTTGTTTTGTGACGGAGTCTCACTCTGTCACCCAAGCTGGAGTGCAGTGGCGCGATCTCGGCTCACTACAGCCTCCGTTTCCCAGGTTCAAGCAATTCTCATGCCTCAGCCTCCTAAATAGCTGGAATTACAGGCGTGCACCACCATGCCCAGATAATTTTTGTATTTTTAGTAGAGACGGGGTTTCACCATGTTACCCAGGCTAGTCTCAAACTCCCAACCTCAGGCGATCTGCCCGCCTTGGTCTCGCAAAGTGCTGGGATTACAGGAGTGAGCCGTCGCACCCAGCTAAAAATTTTTAATATTCTTGTAAAGGTCAGTTACAAACATTGTCTAGGTTAAAGAGATGCTAGTTAACAAAATGCTGGATGGTATTTTTTATTTTATTTTAAATTCTTGAAATAGGATTTGCAAATTAGATAACCATAAGAATTGAGATTTTATGAACTGTATTTTTTTACTCTGTATTGTCACATAGCCAGTTTCTACATATGTAAGAGTTTTCATTAATCTGTAAAATGAAAGAGATTTCAATGACATATCTTAAATATAGACTGTTCTTTTAAAAACTTTTTTGGCTGCCATTTTAAATCAAAATGTCACATTTACCAATTAAAATTAAATTATATTCCCATTCACTTAACTCCTTTGAATTTATAACTTAAATAACCAACCACATGATCGAATGCAAAATCAAACCACTCAATTTAATTTGTTGTGTCTTTTACTCTTAAGACTCCTTCTCAGTCAGATACAGTACCATTTAGAAGTAAAATCTGAAACAAATTTTGTGCTTTTCTGAGTGAGGAGGGGAAGCAAATATTTGTTCCAATTGCCTGGATTTGATGTAGGAGAATATTTAAAATAGTTAAGTTTAAATGGTCTTGAAGTTGATGGGAAAAATATAAGACCTTCTATACTCATGTAATAATCCCATTTAATTGTCACTGAAAGAGTATAAATGTCTTTCCTGTCTTATCAGATACTGTCAGTACACGGCAGTCTTGGTTTATTTTACTGGTGCCTTGACCAGCAATACAACAATCACAGGGGTTATCTGTGAGGCCCTTTCAGAATGGAATTTCTGTTGAGGTTAATCCAGTTGGTTTGCTCTACGGATTTAGGACACCACTGTCAGTGGATTTCCATCTTATTTGAGGCTATTCAGATCTGATTTAAAGCCTGGCATCCTGGAATTTAAATTACAGATCTTAGTGAGTCAGACTTTCAAAACCTTTCTTTGAATAGGGAATCCAAAACAGTCATAGTTTTATTATCCTATTATAGATAAAGGGAAAAGGATGTCCCACAGTTCCTCTTCTGACTTAAAGGAACCTCATATTTATACCTTTTAGGAAATAGAAATGTCAATTTGAATATTATTAGAGCAAACAATTTTGAAGTAAAACAACCAATTAGGATTATAGAGTTTTGGGATTGAAGAAAATGGTTAGGCATTCTGGTATGTCCTAAATTATCCAGTTTATGCCTGTTGGCCTTGTGTAATTATTAATGATGCCCCTTTCACCCTCAAAAATATCCCAGCATATAACACATTACACAGTCTCCCTGGTTGTAGGTTATGTTTTACAGCTCTTAACATAATCTTTGAAGTGTGGATGTCTTACAAGACTCCTTTGTTAAACACAAAACAGAATAGGATCATACATTTTCACGCAAGTCCCCCTCCACACTCAACTAGGTGGAGGGGTAGTACACTTGATGGTTTTGTGAATATTTTCAATTTACTTCTTTATCAGGACAAGCTTCTAACCAAAAATATTATCTACTTTTCTTCAGCTGTAGAGTAAGAGGGCACATTTTCTTCTCATCGTTCTGATTTTTGTTATCAGTAGCATGCTCTGTGCTAAACAATGGAATTCCGTTAAATAACATTGAGAGGAAAGAGCCTAAGGAACTTAAAACTCACTGTAAGGAAAAGCGAAAAGGGAATTTTTACAAAATAGGATTGTGAGGCATATGATGTTTTGGTTCTACATTGTGGATCGGTTTCAAATTTGGGCAGTTGGAGATTCGTCTCATGAAACTTGTCTATTGAAATTTATACTTTTTGTCTTAGAATTTCCCCCTTTAAATTATCTTTGCTATGTTAGAGGATCAAATCGTTGGAAACTAATTATAGTAAAAACTGAAATTTAGACTTAACTAAGATTAATCCAGTTGGGATGGCATTCTTTTTCCCTGGGTAATAGGAATGACAGACACTTCAATCTTCCTTTCTATTTTGACTCAGAAGTCAACATTACTTTAGATATCTGTCTATCAATCAGTCAATCAATCAATCATATGTGTATGTATGTTACCATTTTATTCTTGATTTCAGGGACAAATCATTGATGGAACCAATCCAGGCCTTGTATAACCAAAAGATTAGCAGTTGGTGTTTGTCTTTTCCCTTCAAGACTTGGGTGTTAGCAGCTTTATAGATAAGGGCAGTTCTAATCATAAATCCATTTACATTTACACAAAACAGGAGTTAGCCTATCCCTTCTCCCTTAAATTCTGGTTCTCACTTTATTTCCTTGCTAATAAAGGTCACTTGTGACTTTTCTTTTCTTTTTTCCCCCCAGAATAGGGCGCTTTTATCTGAGTTAAAAACTTGTTCAGGTTGGGCACTGTGGTTCACACTTACAATCCCAACACTTCGGGAGGCCACAGTGGGAGGATTGCTTAAAGCCAGAAGTTCAATATCAGCCTGAACAACATAAATGATGAAAAAAGTTGTTTTTCATCAAAGAATGAAAAAATATTAGCTGGGGGTGGTGGTAAGCACCTGTAGCCCTAGCTATTCAGAAGGCCGAGATGGGGGAATTGCTTGAGCCCAGAAGTTCAGAAGTTCAAGATTGCATTGAGCTATGATCATGCCACTGCACTTCAGCCTGAGTGACAGAGTGAGACCTTGTTTTGGAAAACAGTAACAAAAAACAAACTTGTTCAGGCAGATATCCTTTGTCTTCATTGATTTTCTTAATGGTTTCTGGGAACTCATCTCCCATCTCATTTGGTAGAAGCTGCTTCTCCTGTTGTACCTTGACATTTCTAAAGCCTCTTTCTAAAATTATCAAACCATCCTTTGCTGGCATTAAATTTTCCAGTTGAAAATCCTTCACCTTCCTTTAATCCTATATTAGAGTCTATAGGTATGCCTTTCTTATAGCAATCCTGCACTCACATAAAAACTGTATTTTCAACATAAGATCAAAAGGTATTTCACAAAAAGTGCATCTTTATATTTGTTTACATTTCTCTTGACTGAATGGCACCATGTATACAGTCTGTGTAAGTTACAGAAAACGTTTGCCAACTCCTACACTACCATTTTGTTATTTGTTTTTATTTGTTTCATCTGTTCTTTGCCGCTTTGTTTTTCCTTTCCTGCCTTCTTCTGGATTAATTGAGTATTTTCGTAATCCTTTTTAATCTCCTCTTTTGGATTTTTTAGCTATAATTACCTGGTTTTTTTTTTGTTGTTGTTAAGTCGTTGCTAGGAAATAATGTATGCATCCTTACCTTATTAAAGTCTGCTTTGAAATACTGTTACACCACTTCACGTACCTTACAATATGAACCTCACAACAATATAGTTCATTTTCCCATCCCAATATATTTTACTTCTTTGTTATAAACCACACAATGCACTGTTGTTACTTTTTCTTTAATCAGTTTTTTTCTTTTTTAAGAGATGGGGTCTTGCTATGTTTTCCAGGCTGGCCGTGAAGTCCTGGGCTCAAGCCATCCACCAAAGTGCTGGGGTTACAGGTGTGAGCTACTGTGCCCAGCCTCTTGAATCAATTTTTAAAAGAAATTTTAAGATATATTTTTATAAATTGGCCCTTATATTTACTATTTCTGGGATTCTTCCTTCTTGTAGATTCAGAATTCCATCTGAGATTGTTGTTCTGTCAAGAAGAACTGTCTTTATTATTTCTTGTAATATAGGTCTGCTGGAAATGAAATCTCTAGGTTTTGGTTGTCCAGAAATGTTTTTATATTGCCTTAATTTCTGAAGGATATTGTCACTGGGACTGCTAAGTTGACAGGTTTTTATCTTTTCACTTCTTTAAAGATGTTGTTTATGGCTTTAATTGTTTCTAATAAGAAGTCAGCCAGCCATCATTCTTTTCTGCTTTTTTATTTT